CCCATACATCCGTGTATAATAAGATTTTCAATAAAGTTTAGTAATAAAAATAAAACCTAATGTGTTTGGCAATATTTTCACTTGTGTTTTAATCCTTAATAGGAAGATAACCTTAGATTATTTTGCTAAAATGAAACCGTTTGAGTTTGTTTTATGTGTCTGTGAATGATCTTCCTTATATATAGGAACAGTATTAACTGCGATAACAAGAAGCACATGACTTAGGTTTTTGAAGTTATCGGTACTTTATGTGACACACACACACACACACACACACACACACACACACACACACACACACACACATACACGATAATAGTTGTCAGGTGGTCCGGTGTGTCCTAATAGTTTTTTCTTGTTTTTTTCAGAGAGTTACTCAGAATCCCTTCATAATATCCTTAATGATATAAGAGCTTCATACACATAACCTTCTCCCATATATACTGACTGCAGTATCGTCTCATATTATATTTGTTTAATGACTTTCAGCTCCAGGACCTCCTGAACTCTTAAACCTGCACAACGATAAAACTTCTCTCATTGTTAAATGGACTGAACCTGAAGAAAAGAATGGCGTAATTGACGAGTACAGAATCACTTGGACTGACTCAAAAGGTACTCCTACTAACACCAAAATACCCGAAGAAAGTTGCTGCTCACACACAATCAATAATCTAACTCCGTGTGAGAACTACACCGTCAGCGTCTCAGCTCACACAGTAGTAGATTGGGGGGAGGAATCCCCTACAGATGAAGCTTTTATCTCAAATTTTGGTAAGTGTATTTGTTCGCATCAAAATGTATATTGTAAACTATCAACTTGAGAGAAATATTGGCTCTACTTTATATTTTGTCTAATGATGTTAATTATTATGTAATAAAATAACTTTTGGGTCAAGATAATATATTTTTTTTATTTAGGCAAAAACTAAGAGATTGCAAAAGTTAGTCATGAACTGAGGAAGAGAAGAGTCAGTATGTATAATCTCGAAGAGGCGAAGATTATTGCAGTCATGTGTGTGTGTGTGTGTGTGTGTATGTGTGTGTGTGTGTGTGTGTGTGTGTGTGTGTGTGTGTGCGGAAAACTTTCTCCCAGAATCTCAATGTGGCTTTAGACCATCATGTGGCACCACTGACATGATCTTTGCTGCCCGCCAGATACAGGGAAAGTGCGGAGAACTGCGTCGTGACCATGTACATGGCCCTCATCGACCTAACCAAGGCCTTCGACTCGGTGAATAGGGAAGCCCTCTGGCAGACCATCAGCCGTTTTGGTTGCCCACGAAAATCCATCGTCATTGTGAGGCAAATCCACGATGGCATAAACGGCAGTGTCCTGCACAATGGTACCCAGTCTGAGGTCTTCCACATCCAAACGGGGGTAAAACAAGGATGTGATTGACCTCCAACTCTCTTTTCCATTTTCTTGGCTGCCTTCCTTACTAGTGCTAGTGCCAATTTAGCCGACACGGTGGACATCGAGTACTGGATGAAGGGTCTTTTCAACATAGACGACACCAGGGAAGAACAAAGGTGTCGGCAGCTTCCATTACTGAACTGCAGTATACAGATGACCTCACCCATGTTGCTCACACTGAACTCTACCTACAGGGGATCCTGAACACCTACGCACATGAGTTTGCACACTTCGTCCTTGAGGTGAATGTACGTAAGACTCAGATTTTCTTTCAGCCTGCCCCTGGTTCAGCCACACCTCCACCATCCATCCAGCCTAACGGTACTACTCACTTTCGGTATCTCGGCTCCTACCTCTCCACCACTGCGGACATCGATGGAGAGATTCATCATCGGATCAAATGTGCATCTCAAGCCTTTGGCAGACTCCGTACCCGTGTCTGCAGCTGTAGGGAGCTGAAATCATATACAAAGTTGCACGTATATTGAGCAGAGTTCCTCCCCACCCTGCTATATGGCAGTGAGATATGGGTCACATAAAGGAGGCACCTCAAGGCACTTGAAAACTTTCACCGACGTAGTCTACGTTCCATCCTCCAAGTTCGCTGGGAAGACAAGAGAACAAATGCCAGTATTCTCGCTGACACCAACAATAGGAACACCGAGGCTACCATTATCCATGAACAACTACGTTGGACTGGCCATGTTACCCACATGGACGACCGTAGACTGCCAAAGCAGCTACTTTACAGTCACCCAACGAATAGTAAAAGTAAAGCTGGCGGGCAACTGAAAAGGTATAAGGATAGTCTTAAGACAAACCTGAAAAAGTGCCAAATGGACCCCCTCACCTGGGAGACGACTACACACTGTAACGCTTGGAGGAGCACCACACGAGAAGGTGTCAATACTTTCGAGTTATCCCGACTGCATACTAAGGCAGACAAGCACCAACGCCGGAAAGACTCTGCCGCCGCCTTTCCCGCACTAGATGTAGCCCTCCACATGTGCAATATCTGTGAACGATCCTGCCGGTCCCGTATCGGCCTCTTTTGTCACCTTAGAACTCACTAATGAAGGTGACATCCTCAATAACTCATTGTATCATAGCTGGATGATCGTCATACTCGTTCCCGAGTGGCAGCAAAGTAGTAGTAGTTTTGTGTGTGTGTGTGTTTGTGTAATTAATAATACGAGATCTGTGAAATTTGTTCTGCATTATCTTCAGAGTGAATAATATTATCTCTCCCAATTTAGACTAGACTGAATACATCACTCAAAGCGTTTATAAACTGGTAGAAACAGAGTTAACGAGATAAAGATTCTAAAAAAAGTTGATGTGACGCAGTGAAGTGAGACACGGGATTGAGTCTCCGAACTATACCCTGATGTCATCTGGTGCAGGCGTGTTGTTTCATCTCATAATATATAGTAGAGTCGACACTGCTTCACACGAACTCTTGACCTGACCATATATTCTATGTGTCAGAGTACACACACACACACACACACACATATATTTATATATACATATATACAATCCGTACGCCACAGAATATATTCATTCTTTAAACCAGAACTTATATGCATCCTGGAAGTGTGAGCATATACTCATTCTTTAACCTGTATCATGCACAGTTAATCGTAATTCTGTCAGTCATTATTTTTGTAATATAGCCCAACAAGTTTCCCTCGGAGGGTCTCTAGTGATGATGTGTTTATTTGTTTTGATTAATAATACAAAATTCAGTGTAAATTTGTGCTGTTATTCATGTTCTTTGTTATATGTCGCCTGTGATTGTCATTGATCCACCTTAGTGTTAAGTGTTGGCATTTATTACAAAACAAAGCAACACAAAAGCTCTAATGATCTTAAGGTTAAACCGGTTTATATTTCATGGTATTTTCGTTATCGTTATTCGTCTATGATCGTGTACATTGTTCATATACGATATATTCAGGCAATATTTTCGCTGTTTAATGTGTTCGTGTCCAGACTGACATTTTCTTATAATACAGTTACAGATTCCAGCCTAAACTGTGACGGCAGTAATTCTCGGGAAGCTCACATCTCCTGGTCCCTCGCCGTACATGACTGCCCGGTGGACGAATACTTTATGAACTGGATAACAACTGTTCAGTGGAATGGCCATCAAAGTTAGTCTTTGTTATTATTCTATTATTATTATTATTATTATTATTATTATTATTATTATTATTATTATTATTATTGTTATTATTATTGTTATTATTATTCTTTAAAATCTTTAGAGGCAGAAACAGGAATATCAAGGGGAGAGGTCCGAGAAGATAGAGGTGGGGGAACATTACTGTCATACTAAGACCCATGAGCGTTCAGTCTTTTTTATTCTATAACTTTTGAAGACCGTAATATATTAATACTTCACTATAACAAGATAATATATTTTGAATGATGTTGTAAATATTTTCTGCACAGTGCGAGTAATATGTGTGAAGGTTCAGGTCACTGAGAATTGGGTATTTCACAGATTCCAACAGCACGACTATGAAAGGTGAGGGAAACCTCACCATGGTGTTACGTGGCCTTGAACCACAGACGGAGTTTGATTTTTGCTTAAGCGTTGATGAAGCAGGGAGAAATAAGGCCTGCTGCACCAGTACCACCAGACCAGAGAGTAAGTGTCTGTTTCTTCAACGTGATTTAGCAGGAAGTTAGATGTCTGCTGCTTTAGTGTTTGATATATGAAGGTAGATGTTGGGTGCTTCAGTGTCTCGCTTCAGTAGATGAAAGTTACGTATCTCAAATGTACATTACCTCACCATTTTAAGTAGTGAAGCACGTGTCTGCTACCTCAACATTCACCTAATGGTAGGAAAGTATTGGCTTCCTCACTGTGTCCGTCTGTACACACTGCCATCCGTCACCCCTTTATCTGTCAGTCAGTTTATAAAGAGGTCGTCATATTTCAGTGTTAAGAGGAGACTCCTCCAGTTATCTCTACACATAAAAGGTTTAATATACCGTCTTTATCAGGTTTACCTTCTTAATACAGGATCAACAAATTTACGTATAATTCATTCAGAATATGTCGTAATACAACTTGAACATTACTATATTGGTAATGAAAGAAATCCTTTTTACTAATGTTCTTTCTTCCTTCATCTTCTATCTTCCTGTAACATGAACAGAACCCTCTCAACCTAAAAACCTGAAGATCGAAAACAAGACTCAGACCACTGTCACCTTAAACTGGTCTTTACCTGACCAACTCAATGGAATACTGGAAGGCTGGCAATTAACCTGGTCACCCAACACGGAGGATGAAGGCATTGTCCTGGCCATTTCTAAAAGGGCATACACAGTTACCAACCTGAAACACTCTAGTCACTTCTGCAAACAAATTCATCTTGAAAATCAACAAAGGAAAGTTTCCCCCGTGGGTTACGGGATTCAGTCCGGTCCACCAAGGTTGGCAGTCAGGCAGCTATCCACTGGACCACAGGTAAAATTGGTTTGTGTTTACTAACTTTAATTCATCTACAGAATACGACTATACCATTAATTGTATGAGTATGTTAAGCGGAGGGAGATGTAAGGTGTAAGGTTTTGTATTAACGAGTTGAAGAGATCATACATCTATCTGTACAGCCAAACCATGAATATTTATTGACTAATTATTTACTAAAATTTATTTTGGGGTTGATGATAATATCGATGATTTTTCATTTGTTTTATTATTACAGAAGCAGCGTGACCGGAGAGAACTATAGTTTCTCACGGTATTAAATGGTTCTTCTTACAGTCACTTCCTACTAGTGTTGACCCTCCATCCAGTCTGTTATGTAACCTTTTCGATCTTGTTCCTGTTGTTAGTGGCCGAGTGTTCCATCACATCCACCTTTTAACTGTAACCCTTTACCCCTCCAGGCTGGTAATGGCGCTGGTTATGGTGATGCAGCTGAAATTATCGTCACCACCAAACCACCAGACAACAATAACAATACCAATAACACTGCAATAATAATCGGGGCGTCTGTTGGCGGTGTGTTGCTTGTTGTGATACTCGTGGCTTCCAGCGTTTATGTTTACAGAAACAAGTCAAGGAAAACTCCCCCAATCTCCAGGAAGGATACCCTATTGGAACGAAGTCAAAATATTTACTCTCAATATCCAGATCCGTAAGTAGTTTGTCTTATTTTGTAAATATTAATATTCATCTTGGGACATTTTATTAACTGTCAATGATGCCCCAAAAATGTGAATGTTATTTAATGACTGACTTCTTGTCCCTTGCTTCACCTCTTACCTTCATCGCTAACTCTTCTGTTATCTTCTTTTTTCTCTATATATTTGTGCTTTATCCTTGTGTCCATCACTCTTAACCTTATTTCCCTATACCTTACCTCCCCATTTCTTCTTCACGCTCGTTTTCATTTCGTCACCATCAGAACTGTTTCTGGTTCTTCCCTTTACCTCCTATACGCACAACATAAAGTATCTACTAGTAAATCACTTACAATTAAATCAGGAGTAAATTAAAAGACAAAATAATTTCAGGTATGTGAACGAGCAACAAACTCCCGGGAATAAGGAATCTTTATCCCACGAACAAGGACCTAGGGAAGACATTGCCTTGGACGAAATAAATATTAAGAGACCTAATTCAAGCATGTTCACCGAAGAAATCACACCAGCAAGAAATAATGCTGTAGAAAGACGCCCATCACAGACGCCACGTGGAGTAATTAATGACAGTGGACTGAGACGCATATCAGAATCATATGATATACGCCCAGGAGGTCAGAATGAAATGGCACAAAGACGCGCATCAGAAACACCTGAGGGTCTTAAGGGGCAGTATAACAATGCACAAAGGCGATCAACAATGTTTGAAGGCCGGCCTGTAGGTCAGGGCTACAATGCGCAAAGGCGAGCATCAATGTTTGAAGGCCGGCCTGTAGGTCAGGGCTACAATGCACAAAGGCGAGCGTCAATGTTTGAAGGCCGGCCTGTAGGTCAAGGCTACAATGCACAAAGGCGAGCATCAATGTTTGAAGGCCGGCCTGTAGGTCAGGGCTACAATGCGCAAAGGCGAGCATCAATGTTTGAAGGCCGGCCTGTAGGTCAGGGCTACAATGCGCAAAGGCGAGCATCAATGTTTGAAGGCCGGCCTGTAGGTCAGGGCTACAATGCGCAAAGGCGAGCATCAATGTTTGAAGGCCGGCCTGTAGGTCAGGGCTACAATGCACAAAGGAGAGCATCAATGTTTGAAGGCCGGCCTGTTGGTAAGAAGTATAAAGTACAAAGACGAGCATCAGATAAAGTTGAGACACGCTCTGGTGGCCAGAAATAACAATGCACAAAGAAGCATATCTGCTAAATGGAGTGTGTAGAGGTGACCAAAGTCATACCTACCCTGACATATATCGGTGATGCAGGAAAATTACTCTCGTGTTTTCAAATATTAAAAACTGAATGTAAAGGGTCCAGTAATGATAAACTCTACTTTGTCAAACTCTTCAACAGACATTACTTTGACGTTTGATGTATTTCTTCAATAATTCCCAGACGAGTCAATACATCATTACAGTGTTAAGTTTTATTGCTGTCTTCAGTGAAAAAGTTAAAGGTAAAAGCTGAGATTTTTGGGTTGTATTTTCTCTTTATAATGTTATTGTATTGAATTTAATTATAATACAAAAGACTAACTTTAACAATAAGAGTTTCCATACTTTTGCGTAAGATCGAAGATTATAACCTGACATTCAGTTAGCATAACCTTCATCATCCATTTACTGCTTTAAGTAAGTAGATAAATTTGTAGTTAGATTCATTAACATCACATATTATCAAGTAACTCTTATTTCAGTAAAAAAGCTCATATTTTCATCGTTAAATTGCCCCAGCCTAAAGAGTCGCCTGCGGCGTTTACAGGTCGCCCAGCTGTGAACGGGTACTTAACTGTGTAGTGTATTGCCGGACACATTGCCTCCTTGTGTGGTGAGGAATAGCAGTCTTAGTGCTGTATCCGCACTGTTTAGCCGATGGCAACTACTTTCAATTTTAATACTTCAATCCAAAACGACTTATGGAAGCTTCTTTAACGATATATTTATAATATTCCTAAGGTGTCATCTACAGTGTTACTCCAAGTAAGGTGATAAGTATATTACTATTAGCGGGAATAGTGTATTACTACACCGTATGTATAAACAAATATTGTTGTTTGCGAACGAATGTTTATAGGGAAATAAGAAAAAGGACTCATGCATCTTTCAACTCTTGTACGCCCACTAAAAAACTATTCGGCGCCCGTGTCATATTGTATCACTCCTTAAGGGTGCTGAATAATTTTTTAGTGGGTTTACAGTAATGTTTGGTGTACAAAATTACTGTACATAAAACTTAAACTTTAATTTACAACCAATAAAACATTTTTCGGCACCCTTAAGGAGTGATACAATATGACACGGGCGCCGAATAATTTTTTAGTGGGTGTAGACATTGTAAATTATTATAAGTTGGTAAGATAGAATTTTATCACAGTGAAAGATAATGTAACGCATAAACAGTCATTGTGTTATGTTGTTTAGCTATAAGAGAGAATGTAATTAAGATTTATGGTCATTGAAGTGACAAAAAGTGAATGAATAAAAGGATATGAAGTACAGGAGATTAATATTAGGACATTTATTGAAATATGTGTAGCTGTTGTGTGTGAGGTGCAGGTGTGTTATCTCTGTGTGAGGTACAGGTGTGTTACCTGTGTGTGAGGTGCAGGTGTAATACCTGTGTGAGGTGCAGGTGTGATACCTGTGTGTGAGGTGCAGGTGTGTTACCTGTGTGTGAGGTGCAGGTGTGTTACTTGCGTGTGAGATACAGGTGTGTTACCTGTGTGTGAGGTAACGTATTTTACCTGTGTGTGTGAGGTACAGGTGTATTACCTGTGTGTGAGGTAAGGTGTGTTACCTGTGTGTGAGGTACAGGTGTGTTACCTGTGAGTGAAGTACAGGTGTGTTACCTGTGTGTGAGAGGTACAGGTGTGTTACCTATATGTAAGGTACAGGTGTGTTACTGTGAGTGTGAGCACAGGTGTGTTACTCAGAGTGAAGTACAGGTGTGTTACCTGTGTGTGAGAGATACAGATGTGTTACCTGTGTGTGAGGTACAGGTGTGCTACCCATGTGTGTGAGTACAGGTGTGCTACCCATGTGTGAGGTACAGGGTGTACCCATGTGTGCAGGTAAGCATGTGTGAGGTACAGTGCTACCCATGTTTGAGGTACAGGTGTGCACCTGTGTGTGAGGTACAGGTCTGTTATGTGTGTGTGTGGAGGCAGTGTGCACCTGTGTGTGAGGTACAGGTGTGTTACGTGTGTGAGGTACAGGTGTGTTACCTGTGTGTGAGGTAAGGTGTGTTACCTGTGTGTGTGAGGTACAGGTGTGTTACCTGTTTGTGAGGTACAGGTGTGTTACCTGTGTGTGTGAGGTACAGGTGTGTTACCTGTGTGTGAGGTAAGGTGTGTTACCTGTGTGTGTGAGGTACAGGTGTGTTACCTGTTTGTGAGGTACAGGTGTGTTACCTGTGTGTGTGAGGTACAGGTGTGTTACCTGTGTGTGAGGTACAGGTGTGTTACCTGTGTGTGTGAGGTACAGGGAAGGAGTTATTTAATATTGAGGCTATGTTACGTACAGTTTTCTCCCGTGGTGAAACTGAGCCACGGTAATGAGTCTCCGAACTCACTCACCCTGACAGTCGTCTGGCGTTGTTGGTCTGTTTTATATCATTCCAGGTTGTTGCTGCTTCATTTTGGGAGGGATGGAACTCTTGAGCCCGACTGTACATCATTATGGCAGATGTTCATATAATGTACATTCCAATAATTCATTAAAAGTCTACCCTGGTTATTTTGGATTGATATAATTAGTAACTTTCTTTATCAAGATAATTAGATATATTATACAGTATACCCAAAGTGCAACTCTGAGACTTATAGGAGTTACCCAATAAAGAAATAAAAGAAACAAATTATTTTAAATTTACAGAGAGAGAGAGAGAGAGAGAGAGAGAGAGAGAGAGAGAGAGAGAGAGAGAGAGAGAGAGAGAGAGAGGTATATCCGTTTTGAACGTAAAATAAAGTTCACCATTGACTAGTATTACTAACTGCCTACCTAGCCATCTACCTACCTACCTACCTACCTAATATAAACTAACCTACCTACCTACCTACCTACCTACCTACCTACCTACCTAATATAACCTAACCTACCTAACGTACCTACCTACCTACCGACCTACCTACCTACCTACCTAATATAACCCTACCTACCTACCGACCTACCTACCTACCTACCTACCTACCTAACCCAACCTACCTAACGTACCTACCTACCTACCTACCTATCTGTTATCGGGATGCTTCATGTGGGGTCCAGCGGCATCAGCAAATGAAACGCTTGTCCCAATTAAAACGTTTTCAGGTGTGTTTAGGTTTTTCTGAGTCTAAGAAGAAAAAGTCAACAGCTTAATCGGAGCACCTTATAGTTCATATATGTTTATAAAATAGTAATTCACTCTTCGGTAATCACAGTTGAAGTTCTAGATTCATATGTGCTACAAAAAAGTGTTTCCTGTCTCCCAAAACTTTTCACTCGTGTTGCTAAATATGAACAGGAGATACAAAGGACACTTCCCTCTCCTGAACCTTCTTTATTTTTCAATTTAAATGGCTTTCTATATTACCATTATATATATAGTCAATATAATTTGCTGTCTATCCGTACTGTCTATCATTGTTTGCATATCAGCGTTACCTACTGTATGAATTTTTTTTCGTATACGTGCTCTGTGTATATGTACATTATATTCCTGGATCGTCTATACTGTACGCATGCTCAATCGATGTAAACGTGTATGGAGAATTTATTGAATAAACTCTTCCACTTACGGGGCTTCCTTGTTACCTTGCTCTTGCTGGTAAGTGTTTGTTCTCAATATATAATATAGAAACACTAAAATATTATGGAATACCGAATGACTTTGTTTTTCATGATAAAGAACACAATAAAAAACAAGTGTTTACTCGACTTGCTGCAGACGAGTATTGGCCTGAGCCAGCTTTCGTATAGCTACTGAGGGTGAAGCATTGCCCTGAAGGAGGAAATAAACAAAAAGTTGAGCGTAAGAGAATAAATCAAATTATCAAATAACTTCAAGTATTTTGTTAGTACATTGATTAAAAAGTTATACATACTGACTCTCTACATCAAATGTTCGCTAATAATATTTCCAGTGTCTTGTTTTGGACACCCGTGTGACGCACATCCAAACAAGAAAAGCTCTATTGTAGTTTTTTCATGAGTCAATTCTTATCTGACAGAACTTGTGTTCGTCTTCAGCTTGGAAGTTTCTCCCGACACCACAACGTGAGGTCAGACATTCTCCACTTAGCATTGGATCTCTTATTTATGGCAGAAACGAGTGACAGACTTTATCCTCGAGATTCTTGGGCTAACGATAAAAACAAATTTGGGTTACTCTCAAAGTTTGTTATCATGTAAAAGATGTCCTTCTGGAAGGATGTGTTCCATTTTATCGGTAACAGAATGTCCTCAACGGGGGAGATATTTATTGAGAACAAGAAATATTTCTTCACAAGTTCCAGTGTTTGATAAGACTATTGTATGAAGCAGCGTCTTATTGATGTTTATGAAAGAAACAATACAGATGACTCACGCTTCACCTATAGAGACTTATTAATGTTGTATAAAAAGAACCAACAATTCTCTACACGTCTCTTACCCGAGTCTCTCAGTCCACCATTTTCTGTGACCCAAACACTTGTGAACAAATGAACCCTCAATAGTTTCTGTGTATTAGGCAGTAACCGAAAATTGACGACAGACAGACAGCCACACAAAGTTCATCTTCATTTCACTGATAAGAGTTGGTCCCATAATCACGAGGGTTCTTGGCGACCGTGCGGGTACAGCTCACAATACTTACCGTCTCCACTTCTCCAACTAAAGTCAGGTACTCATTTACAGCGTGATGGACTGGGGGTGTTCCGGGTGCGAACAAGCGTCACTTAGGACAGGATCCGAGTGTTCCATCCACTGAGTTAACATGGTGCAGACTGTATAATTCTCTCGCGGTTCAGGTAGTCTCAGGAGTGAGAGACTCCCTGTCTTATGTCCTTCATAAACTAGCCTTTACCATCACTTATATTTATTATTTGAAGTTATTATAAGTTCTAAATATTATATAATGTGTATAACAAGAAACACATTGGATGATGACAGGGCTATATTTTATGTACATACATCTCATAACAGTTATCAGGACGAAAGAAAATATTTATCCTTCGTGTCCTAAAATTAGACAAACGTATAGACAATGACACAAACTATTGAGTAAAACGAACAAATATTTTCCTTTTTTCATTTGGACAAAACATGAGCCACTTGTTCTCAGGGGGCGATATAGTTATTTACAAAGTTACCTCATCAACTAACACAGTGAACTCTAAGACCGATGCATGACGCAATGAGGAGGTAACTTGTACCTCACACACAGGTAACACACCTGTACCTCACACACAGGTAACACATCTGTACCTCACACACAGGTAACACACCTGTACCTCACACACAGGTAACACATCTGTACCTCACACACTCTTAACCTTAATCGCATTCTCTCTTATACTACATAACACAATGACTGTTTATGCGTTACATAATCTTTCACTGTGATAAAATTCCATCTTACCAACTTATAATAATTTACCCTGTTGAGCGATGCATGAAACCTTTTTATTATTACCGTATGACTGTATTATAAACTTTCATTCAATAACAAAAATAAACTATTACTTATTTTTAAATACGGGGTAGTTATATAGTATTCCCTCCCATGATAATTTAATATACACATCACACTGCTTAGCGTATATACATATATATATATATATATATATATATATATCGCCTGATCAATTGTCACGAGATGACACACAAATGACCGGCCATGATACCTCCCTGGGTACTGAGGGCTCATTATAGTGTTTATCCACACAGTCCCTAACGGGCATTCACGCCTTTAGAACCTATTTTTACTTTCATCGTGAAAGAAGCTTCCATAAGTCGTTTTGGATTGAAGTATTAACACTGAAAGTAGTTGCCATCGGCTAAACAATGCGGATACAGCACCATGACTGCTATTCCTCACCACAAGGATGTAATGTGTCCGGCAATAGACAGCACAGTTAAGTACCCGTTCACAGCTGGGTGGACTGTAAGTGCCCCAGGCGACTCCTTGGGTAGGAGGTAAGTCCACTTAGACGCTGCTCCCCGTGGGTTATATACAGATGAAAATACAGTTTTTGTTCTTAGATTAAGGTAACTACATATCGACTTATTATTTACTTAATGCATTATTATATCTGCTCTCTGACTCTCAAGTTACAAGTAAAACTGATTACTGGCAAAAGGTTGTCATAAAACAACCCTGCAGTAAATGGATGGAGGTGATATTCGCCATATGTCAGATTGTAAACAATAGTCTTACTAAACTATGAAAACCCTTATTGTTAAAGTATATCTTTTACATTATAATTAATGCAATACAAAAACATTATACTGTAACAATTGGTATTGGAATTTGTATCCATTATAAAGATAAAATCCAACCCAAAAATATCAGCTTTTACCTTTAACTTTTTCACTGAAGACAGCAATAAAACTTAACACTGTAATGATGTTGTGACTCGTCTGGGAATTATTGAAGAAATACATCAAACGTCAAAGTAATGTCTGTTGAAGAGTTTGACAAAGTAGAGTTTATCATTACTGGACCCTTTACATTCAGTTTTTAATATTTGAAAACACGAGAGTAATTTTCCTGCATCACTGATATATGTCAGGGTAGGTATGACTTTGGTCACCTCTACACACTCCATTTAGCAGATATGCTTCTTTGTCAACGACCATTCTTCAATTAGTTGTCTCTCGTGTCTTTGGTGTACCTCTTTGTCCAGGAATAATGTTCATACTTTTCTGATAAGCGTCTTTGTGCGTTGTAGTTCTGACCTCCAGAGCGGCTGTTAATTACTTCTGATGGGCGTCTCGGGCCGTTGTAATTAATTCCTTCATCTGGCGCCTGTGATGGGCGTCTCGATCCGTTGTAATTAATTCCTTCATTTGGCGCCTGTGACGGACGTCTCGGTCCGTTGTAATTAATTCCTTCATATGGCGCCTGTGATGGGCGTCTCGGTCCGTTGTAATTAATTCCTTCATCTGGCGCCTGTGACGGACGTCTCGGTCCGTTGTAATTAATTCCTTCATATGGCGCCTGTGATGGGCGTCTCGGTCCTTTGTAATTAATTCCTTCATCTGGCGCCTGTGATGGGCGTCTCGGTCCTTTGTAATTAATTCCTTCATCTGGCGCCTGTGACGGACGTCTCGGTCCGTTGTAATTAATTCCTTCATCTGGGGCCTGTGATGTGCGTCTCGGTCCTTTGTAATTAATTCCTTCATCTGGCGCCTGTGATGGGCGTCTCGGTCCTTTGTAATTAATTCCTTCATCTGGCGCCTGTGATGGGCGTCTCGGTCCTTTGTAATTAATTCCTTCATCTGGTGCCTGTGATGGGCGTCTCGGTCCTTTGTAATTAATTCCTTCATCTGGCGCCTGTGATGGGCGTCTCGGTCCTTTGTAATTAATTCCTTCATCTGGCGCCTGTGATGGACGTCTCGGTCCTTTGTAATTAATTCCTTCATCTGGTGCCTGTGATGGGCGTCTCGGTCCTTTGTAATTAATTCCTTCATCTGGCGCCTGTGATGGACGTCTCGGTCCTTTGTAATTAATTCCTTCATCTGGCGCCTGTGATGGACGTCTCGGTCCTTTGTAATTAATTCCTTCATCTGGCGCCTGTGATGGGCGTCTCGGTCCTTTGTAATTAATTCCTTCATATGGCGCCTGTGATGGGCGTCTCGGTCCTTTGTAATTAATTCCTTCATCTGGCGCCTGTGATGGGCGTCTCGGTCCACTGTAATTAATTACTCCACTTGGCGTCTGTGATGGGCGTCTTTCTCCAGCATTATTTCTTGCTGGTGTCATTTCTTCGGTGAACATGCTTGAGTTAGGTCTCTTAATATTTATTTCGTCCAAGGCAATGTCTTCCCTAGGTCCTTGTTCGTGGGATAAAGATTCCTTATTCCCGGGAGTTTGTTGCTGGTTCACATACCTGAAAATATTTTTGTCTTATAATTTATTCCTGATTTAATTGTAAGTGATTTATTAGTAGATACTTTATGTTGTGCGTATACAAAAAGTTGTCAAAGACATAATGAAAAGTTGACCCACATGTGAATACAGAATTATGTCGGGCCCATACAGGACGTCTTAGTATGATCTGGCAGAAGCAAGAAAGAAGTAAAATTGACATGTAATGTACAAGCTTGGTGTATGGTAAAAATAAATGTAAAGAGATTTAATGGTTCAAAATGTGTCTGTTGTTTATTGAGAACAGTGATAAACGTGTTTTCTGTGGTCTCGAGGGACACAGAACAAACAGGTTGAATCGTGGTGCAGAAGGACCAGTTCAGGGCGGCGTTGCAGGGGATGGCTTACATGATAGACAATGGAGCATTACCCTGCATACCTGAGGATTCCAGTGAACATGCTAGACCACCCAGAACGGAGTAGTTGACAGTGTGAAAATGTGTTGCACATAACTTGCAGGTAATTAATGGAAACCATATCATTTCCAAGCGAGAACCATTAATGTTTGAAATAAGATTGAACATTTGGGAGAGCGAGAGGGTTGAGAAAGATGATTAGGTCAGGGAATAATGGGAGGATGAGGTGAATGAGTACTGAAGATCGGTAAGGACACTTGAGAGCGGAGGCGATACTGTAGGAAAAGAATGACTGAGGTTCAAGAGGAGTTTAGTTGGCTTAGCTGAGGAAGTGTTTGGGAGAATATCAAGTTAAGGGTGTAAAGGGAAGAACCAGAAACAGTTCTGATGGTGACGAAATGAAAACGAGCGTGAAGTAGAAATGGGGAGGTAAGGTATAGGGAAATAAGGTTAAGAGTGATGGACACAAGGATAAAGCACAAATATATAGAGAAAAAAGAAGATAACAGAAGAGTTAGCGATGAAGGTAAGAGGTGAAGCAAGGGACAAGAAGTCAGTCATTAAATAACATTCACATTTTTGGGGCATCATTGACAGTTAATAAAATGTCCCAAGATGAATATTAATATTTACAAAATAAGACAAACTACTTACGGATCTGGATATTGAGAGTAAATATTTTGACTTCGTTCCAAAGGGGTATCCTTCCTGGAGATTGGGGGAGTTTTCCTTGACTTGTTTCTGTAAACATAAACGCTGGAAGCCACGAGTATCACAACAAGCAACACACCGCCAACAGACGCCCCGATTATTATTGCAGTGTTATTGGTATTGTTATTGTTGTCTGGTGGTTTGGTGGTGACGATAATTTCAGCTGCATCACCATAACCAGCGCCATTACCAGCCTGGAGGGGTAAAGGGTTACAGTTAAAAGGTGGATGTGATGGAACACTCGGCCACTAACAACAGGAACAAGATCGAAAAGGTTACATAACAGACTGGATGGAGGGTCAACAGTAGTAGGAAGTGACTGTAAGAAGAACCATTTAATACCGTGAGAAACTATAGTTCTCTCCGGTCACGCTGCTTCTGTAATAATAAAACAAATGAAAAATCATCGATATTATCATCAACCCCAAAAGAACTTTAGTAAATAATTAGTCAATAAATATTCATGGTTTGGCTGTACAGATAGATGTATGATCTCTTCAACTCGTTAATACAAAACCTTATACCTTACATCTCCCTCCGCTTAACATACTCATACAGTCACACGTGGGAAGAATTAATGAAGAATGTAGTAATTATTCTGAGGTTTATATCAGAACCTGTATTGTACACAGGTAAAACAATGTAAACAATTTTACCTGTGGTCCAGTGGATAGCTGCCTGACTGCCAACCTTGGTGGACCGGACTGAATCCCGTAACCCACGGGGGAAACTTTCTGACGATTTTATAATAATGGACAGAAAGAGACATTAATCTTACCATCAAGTCAAAGGTATAATTTGTGGAGGGCTTCAGGTTGGTAACTGTGTATGCCCTTTTAGATTTGGGCAGGACAATGCCTTCATCCTCCGTGTTGGGTGGCCAGGTTAATTGCCAGTCTTCCAGTATTCCATTGAGTTGGTCAGGTAAAGACCAGCTTAAGGTGACAGTGGTCTGAGTCTTGTTTTCGATCTTCAGATTTTTAGGTTGAGAGGGTTCTGTTCATGTTACAGGAAGATAGAAGATGAAGGAAGAAAGAACATTAGTAAAAAGGATTTCTTTCATTACCAATATAGTAATGTTCAAGTTGTATTGCCACATATTCTGAATGAATTATACGTAAATTTGTTGATCCTGTATTAAGAAGGTAAACCTGATAAAGACGGTATATTAAACCTTTTATGTGTAGAGATAACTGGAGGAGTCTCCTCTTAACACTGAAATATGACGACCTCTTTATAAACTGACTGACAGATAAAGGGGTGACGGATGGCAGTGTGTACAGACGGACACAGTGAGGAAACCAATACTTTCCTACCATTAGGTGAATGTTGAGATAGCAGACACGTGCTTCACTACTTAAAATGGTGAGGTAATGTACATTTGAGATACGTAACTTTCATCTACTGAAGCGAGACACTGAAGCACCCAACATCTACCTTCATATATCAAACACTAAAGCAGCAGACATCTAACTTCCTGCTAAATCACGTTGAAGAAACAGACACTTACTCTCTGGTCTGGTGGTACTGGTGCAGCAGGCCGTATTGCTCCCTGCTTCATCAACGCGTAAGCAAAAATCAAACTCCGTCTCTGGTTCAAGGCCACGTAACACCGTGGTGAGGTTTCCCCCACCTTTCATAGTAGTGCTGTTGGAATCTGTGAAATACCCAATTCTCAGTGACCTGAACCTTCACACATATTACTCGCACTGTGCAGAAAATATTTACAACATCATTTAAAATATATTATCTTGTTTTAGTGAAGTATTAATATATTACGGTCTTCAAAAGTTATAGAATAAAAAAGACTGAACGCTCATGGGTCTTAGTATGACAGTAATGTTCTCCCAGCTCTATCTTCTCGGACCTCTCCCCTTGATATTCCTGTTTCTGCCTCTAAAGATTTTAAAGAATAATAATAACAATAATAATAACAACAATAATAATAATAATAATAATAATAATAATAATAATAATAATAATAATAATAATAATAATAATAATAATAATAATAATAATAAAAATAATATTAATAATAATAATAATAATAATAATAATAATAATAATAATAATAATAATAATAATAATAATAATAATAATAATAATAATAATAAAGACTAACTGTGATGGCCATTCCACTGAACAGTTGTTGTCCAGTTCATAAAGTATTCGTCCACCGGGCAGTCACGTACGGCGAGGGACCAGGAGATGTGAGCTTCCCGAGAATTACTGCCGTCACAGTTCAGGCTGGAATCTGTAACTGTATTATAAGAAAATGTCAGTCTGGACACGAACACATTAAACAGCGAAAATATTGCCTGAATATATCGTATATGAACAATGTACACGATCATAGACGAATAACGATAACGAAAATACCATGAAATATAAACCGGTTTAACCTTAAGATCATTAGAGCTTTTGTGTTGCTTTGTTTTGTAATAAATGACAACACTTAACACTAAGGTGGATCAATGACAATCACAGGCGACATATAACAAAGAACATGAATAACAGCACAAATTTACACTGAATTTTGTATTATTAATCAAAACAAATAAACACATCATCACTAGAGACCCTCCGAGGGAAACTTGTTGGGCTATATTACAAAAATAATGACTGACAGAATTTAGTGTCATACTTTCGACACCTAAAGAAAATACTTTATAAGATCATACAAACTTCCCTTCCTATAGCATAAAGAAAGTATAGCCAATATTTCCCTCAAGGTGGTAGTTTACAATATACATTTTGATGCGAACAAATACACTTACCGAAATTTGGGATAAATGTTTTTTTTGTAGGGGATTCCTCCCCCCAATCTACTGTGTGAGCTGAGACGCTGACGGTGTAGTTCTCACACGGAGTTAGATTATTGATTGTGTGTGAGCAGCAACTTTCTTTGGGTATTTTGGTGTTAGTAGGAGTACCTTTTGAGTCAGTCCAAGTGATTCTGTACTCGTCAATTACGCCATTCTTTTCTTCAGGTTCAGTCCAGTTAACAATGAGAGAAGTTTTATCGTTGTGCAGGTTTAAGAGTTCAGGAGGTCCTGGAGCTGAAAGTCATTAAACAAATATAATATGAGACGATACTGCAGTCAGTATATATGGGAGAAGGTTATGTGTATGAAGCTCTTATATCATTAAGAATTTTATGAAGGGAGTTTTAGTCTTAACTACTTACTATCTACTGGTGCAACAGATCCTCTCATAGTATTAGTTATCAATGTTAACCCCTAGTGAGTTACTTACTTATGAAAACTTAAATAATTACGAACTTTAACACAGAAATACGCAAACCTACCAGAAAACATCTTAAGTGACTTACTAGCCTGTGGAGTGACTCGTTGGCAGCACCCAGTGTCGCTGGTGTAACCATCCACACTTACACACACGCTGTACTTTGTATAAGGCAGAGAGTGCGGCAGCTCATAGCTTAATGGGTCTTCATTCATCCAGTCCATGGAACAACTATTAGTATCTGGAAGAAACAATGTATTAAAAGATAACCATTAAGAAATAGAATCTTAATTTACGAAATTTTTATTCTCTTGATAATAACAACATTAGTGCAACATTTCTTCTACCAGCAAGTAGTCTAATAATTTTTAATTAAATTTCTCTTTAAAGTAACAGACTTGGAACTGTCTATCATTATAAGACATTTCATCAGAATACCTGTATCATCGGACCACAATGATGTGCCGCTCCAGCTGATGTTGTAGGTGGGCGGCGGGCATTGCTCAGGAGGTGGTACCCAGGTCACCATTACATTAGAACCATTAAGGTCACACTTCACGGAGCTGGGTATAACTATGGTGATACACAAGATGGCTTAGGTCACATGGGTTACCGTTGAAGTGGTGTGTATGTATATAAATATATTTAGGGATTACTGTAGTGAATCAAATCAACCAACTTAGGACACTTACCACTATCATTGAGAAAAACAGGGAGTGGGTCAGTCGCTGTCCCCCACCCTGCCACAGTCGCCGCCGTGACGGTAATATTGTATAGTTTACATTGCTGTAGTCCTTGAATGTTGACAGTTGTGGTTTTTCCATCTACAGTTGTGTCGTTTTCACTGCCAGAGATGATATAGTTTACGATTTTTCCATTGGCTTTCTGAGGCTTCTCCCAGGTGACAGATACTGCGTGGTCAGCTGTTGTAGCTCTCACGTTGACAGGCGGCCCCGGCTCTAGTATGTCCAGGTACAGTTCATGTTAACAATAATAGTTAAACTGTAGTTCTCAAAGGCGCTCAATACAAACTTTCCCATTTACTTCTCCAAGACATGAAAACTTTATCGGAATCTTAGTAAGAGTAATAAAATATATCAAGAATAGAGAATAAATTCTTCATTAGTATGTTATCCTACACACGCTTGTATACACTGTCCAGTGTGAGGAAGCCCAGGCAGTAACTTTAGGCAGGAGAATGTTGGCGCCTGGTGAGTGGAGTTTAGTGAAGCTCCTGGCAAGTTTTTCTTATATCTTTAACTTACAGTTTCTCTCAATCTGTTTTCCTTAACTTTGACATAAATATTAATAATTTTATGGGCATATTTATTTTCAACTTGTATAGTAGGTAGTTGAAGGATGACAATAGTTTGCTATTCTTGGAAAACGGATTTAATGTCATTGTACCAGATAAAATACAAAGTGCAATAACAGCATTCTGATGAACCTCTTCAAGAAATTTAGAACTCACATTTTAGCAGAAAACTTATGATATAATTAGCCTTAAAGAACGACTCCTCGGTTGTTAACGAGAACTGTTCCTTCCTCTGTTATTGATTCAAATGGTATAGATATAAGAGTCATCATCTGAAGTTTGTTTTATATCAAAGATGATTATGGACAACTAGTAACTTCATTAACAGTTGCGTAAAAATTAATTACTCTAATTGCATGAGTTTTAAGATTATGTCACTAATTATATTACTAAACTTTAGCTTCTTCAAGGAGGTGGACTGAAAATATCCCGTCACTTATCGAACATAAATGTTATTACGATTATTTACCAATTATACCATGATCAATGATACACGGAACTAGAGATTTATACATAAGGTTAAGTTATTGGTCAGCATTACCACCAACAACAGTGTATGGACCACAACTAATACCTGTGTGTGGACCACCAACACCAGGGTGTGGACCACCAACACCAGGGTGTGGACCACCAACACCAGGGTGTGGACCAGCAACACCAGGGTGTGGACCACCAACACCAGGGTGTGGACCACCAACACCAGGGTGTGGACCATCTACACCAGGGTGTGGACCATCAACACCAGGGTGTGGACCACCAACAACAGTGTGTGGACCACCAACACCAGGGTGTGGACCACCAACACCAGGGTGTGGACCACCAACACCAGGGTGTGGACCATCAACACCAGGGTGTGGACCATCAACACCAGGGTGTGGACCACCAACACCAGGGTGTGGACCATCAACACCAGGGTGTGGACCATCAACACAAGGGTGTGGACCATCAACACCAGGGTGTGGACCACCAACAACAGTGTGTGGACCACCAACACCAGGGTGTGGACCACCAACACCAGGGTGTGGACCACCAACACCAGGGTGTGGACCGATAGTGCCTGAGATGAATTCATTGGTCAAGGTTTCAGGGATAATGATCTTCATAAAATGAATCACTGAAAACTAAAGTCAACTTGACGAAGAGTGAGAAGCTGTACACAAATACCCGGGATATTAACAAAAGATTTCTCATGTACATATTCATCTCTGACCTTGACCTTTGACCTTGTATTATGGGGAACCTTCCTCTCCCTTAGGGCAGTAGAGGTAATGTGAGAGCCACCGGTGTGTTGAATCTGGAGTTACAGTTCACAAACCCAAATTCTCTGTACAGCAACAATGACCTTGACCTTACGCCCAATAACTCTAAGAGTTGTTGCAAAGTTTATATCCATATCGGCCAGGTAGTTGTGACGTAATGCTTATCTAAATACGGAGACGCAAGTTATGGCTCGGATAATGAAATTAAATATTGAATCGTCTTCTGGTCAAAGACACCATCCAAACTGTGAGTTGTTGCCACTGATGTAAGTATTGTGTTGTGGTTGACGGTGGAGTACAGTGTATCATCTACACATAAATCAACACTAATAAAGAGAGTCAACTTACTGTCCTGTTGTGTAACATTCCAGCATGTTAGAGGTGGACCAAAACCTGCATCAGTGGCTGCTGCAATATCAACTGTGACGTTGGCGTACGGAGGAAGGCCTCTCAGAGGAGTTTTTGTTACGGTACTGAATGTTTCACCTGAGTCGTGCTCGTCATCCCACAGACTGGACCATGACCAGCTGATATTGTAGTTTCTAATATGACACGCTGTGTCTGGCGCACTCCAGGTAAGATACATCGAGTTTGTGGTAATGCGGTCAAAGTCACAGTTCAGTGGTGGTGGCGGTACTGAGGAAAGATGTGAAAGACTTAGTTGAGGTACACACACACACATACACACACACACACACACACACACACACACACACACACACACACACACACACACACACACACACACACACACACACACGCACACACACACACAATCTCGCACACTCACATACAACACAGAAACACACATAAACGCACACAAACACACGCACAGACACACATACACACATAAACACACACATACACATATGCACCCAAACGGACACACACACACACACACACACACACACTACCTGACTACCTATAAAAAAGTAGAGACGCTGTTAGGTTAGGTTAGGTTAGGTTAGGTTAAACTAAAGATATATTTGTGGACCGCACGCTATCGTTGCCAAATATTTCTGTACAGTATTTATAGTTGATAATATTCAAGTTAACATTATTTACTTATTATGACCTACCACAACAAACAAGTGTCTCTTAATGTTAAAGTTTCATCTTAAACATAATAGAAAAATAAGACTTGATGAGAGCAACACAACTCTTACCTGAAGCTAATGTTATGCCAGACGTAGGGGGAGAAGGATACTGTTTACTTTCGTAATGAGACGCTACAGTATAAAAATATGTTTTACAAGGTTGTAGTTCATCTATTAAACAGTAGGTGGTATATGCCAATTCGTTAAAAGAATCTCTAACATCAGTGACTTCATAGTACTGAGGTTCTTCATCAGGTGGGTCCCATGACACGTTGAGGGCGGTGCTTGACACTGCCTCCACTATCACGTTGAGGGGCGGCCCTTCTGAGGGAGACAATAGGTGTGAGAGGTGGTGCTGGATGTGAGAAACACTTTGGTAATTTTTTTAAAGAGGAAGGGAGTATGTGTATGCTTGTGTGTGTCTCGGAAAATGTACAGTAGTCAATAATGATGATGATGCCATAATGTGTTTACTGCCATCGGGAATCTGTTGTGTTAGAAAGTAATGATCTTACTAGTTAGGTGAGAGTTAAACAAGGGAGTTAGACAAGGCAGCGTGAGAGGTGATGAAGGAATAACAGTTAAGAGAAAAAAAAGTAGTAGTAGTAGTAGTAATAGTAGCATTATTATTGTTGTTATCATTACTATTATGAAAGGTTTCAGTGCAAAAACGAGAAGAAACATAAATTGAACTTACAAGTTAGGTGAGAACAAGGGGTTTATATACATAACACCTGGTAGTTACACTCTCGGCCGTCTTGTAACTGACTGACGCTGTTCATCTTACAATTGATAACACAATTGTAAACACCTCATTCAAGATTATTTTGCGATGTTTCAAGTGTATTGTAACCCGAATGTAAGCATTGTGTTATAAGTCTTCCTGCGGGTCAGTTGGCCAATCACAGTCAGGTTGGGTTCACAATAAACAGACAAAACAAGACAAAAATATGTTGGCAACACTGCCGGTCATATGGTAATTGATCCTCTAATATGTTCAATAGCAGAACGATAGAAATACTGTAAGAAATTAAGTTAGGGAGTTATAATATACATGTTCCATTTAATTTAGGATATATTTAGATAAAGTAATATTTAATAGTTAACTGAATTGTAAATAATTACTCCTAATTATAGTCTTGCCCAAGTCTACATTCCTTTGTCTGTGCGCGCATCCTACCAGCTACCGTTGGATGTCAAATTACCTGCCATCGTCAAGTCCTTAACGATCGTGACCAGAGAAACACAACACTCACCACCGCCAACTGAGCTCAACCATTAATTCCTGACCTCAGCAAACCTTGAGTATCAATTTCTAGTGTAGGATATTTAACTTTTTACTTTGTACGTAGTTTGATGTAATCTAAATTCCGACATTGCCACTTAAGGTAATCACCCATTTAGAGTGTTTATTTAATTTATTTAACGTAATGTAAATATCTCTTGTCCTGATATCAACCAATTTAGGGCTGGTCACGTCTGATGCACAAAAGTACAATGGATTGAATTAGAGCATCCACACTGGTACTGTCTGCTGGACCTTTGTCTGGTCCAGTCACCTCTCATAACCCGGACGGTCAACAAGGGTGACTGTGATATTGAACGACTGGTATATCTCGTGGAAGAGACGCGGACGATTTATAATATAATTGTTCAATGAAGGAGCTTAGGAACAGAAGAACTCTGAATGAGCTGTGGAAGGATTATAACAAATAAATTAAAGTTTTGGGTAATTTTTTATATATATATATTTTCTTTATTAACATGTACTGTATACACGGTAACCTTGTCGGGGTGGATCCACCGGCCATTTTACTGGCTGGTAGAGATAGTAAAATAGATATCATTGTTAAACAAATTCCTTACTGAACATCTCGTTGGTAACTGAGTGCCTAAGTTCCGTCTTGTCTCGTCTTGTCTGTTCAGTGTGAATTCAGCCTTACGCTCTCAAAACAAGCCGACCAATCAGAAGCTAAGGATGTCAACTGGCCTGACGGCGCAAGATTTATAGATAAAAGGAGTTTACGAAGCTTAAAAATATGTAAAATTTATAATAAAATACTTTAATTATACCCTACATACCGACTGAAGAAACTACATACACAGTTTATAATAACAAGTACAAATGATAGTAAGTCGTTCTTCGCTTTATAAAGGTGTCTAATTCCTCGCACAGATAAAAAAAAATTCACCTAGAGGAAATACGTAGAGCCTCAACAGTTGTTCATCACTTATATTACGAAGGTCCAGAGAGTTTCGCCACCTCCTTTCACGTTGCAAAGCTTGATCGGTTAAACATACACATCAATCAACTCCATCTTGGCTTTTAGAACAAACAGCTGCTTTTTATAAGATAATTTTTAACATTAGACTTTATCTCTTAATATTATGTCCCATTGAAATAATATATGAAACTTATTTTATGCAGTATATTAACTGATAAAAGATCTTTAACGAGGTTTATCATAGCTTGGAAGGCATATATAGTACTGTTTAAGCAATCTGGAAATATACCACGCTATGTCGGGGGTTTATTCCGTTACAGGAGCTCCGAAGGTTCTGTAAGTTACAGTCTCCAGACATAACAGGACGTCACAATATGGCGAAAGTATTGTTTTGTGCATCGCTACGGAGAGGACATACTGTACATCCTCCAGGCTCCACTTAAGAGTCAATTGGGTGATACAATCTTGCAAATACTTTTTTTTCAGTCCATATTATTATTTATTTTTATTTTTTAGATTTTGTTTCAATAGTTCTGAGTCCTCGTAAGATTTAGTTTCCGCCCCCTTTTGTGTCATCATTAAATTTATTTATGTTGCTGTCAACGCCTAAATCTGTTTCGTTCACGTGGTTGGAAAGTGCGGGTCTTGTAGTCCTGATGCAGCTGTGGAGACGAATAGCAACAAGTGGACGAGTGTGTGTGTGTGTGTGTGTGTGTGTGTGTGTGTGTGTGTGTGTGTGTGTGTGTGTGTGTGTGTGTGTGTGTGTGTGTGTGTGTGTGTGTGTGTGTGTGTGTGTCCAAGATCAGGTAAAATAAATGGACCTATTTGTGTCTCAGAACGACAACCGTAACAACAAGAACACACTTGACCTCACAGCTACACGTTAATGTGTCTTGGACGTTGTTTATAATGTGTGATGTGGGACCAGTCTGTCTCTGCCTCCCGGGAGAAAAACCTCCTGATTGACGCCATCAGGTTCTAGGAATAACATTGTTGTCGAGAATCAAGATTAGATATTATGTAGGCAATACACCGCTTGACAACTGCGCCACAACATGCACTCCTTCAGCCGAAAAGTGAAAGACTCTGATATTATCCCAAGTTGATGACAAGTATTCACACTGACTGGGACAAGATACAGTACAAACTGGGGCTGAGAAAACATCAGCAAGACGGTCTGTCAGTTATGGCTAAACCAGCCGCGTTTTGGAGCGCCCCCGGAATCAGCTTGTTCAAGATAGATTATATTTAACAGAGGCAACGAAGATGGTGTTAAGACAGGTTCATAAAAAAAATCTACCCTCAGCTTGTAATTTGTATGTATTTTCTATATTATTTGATATTAATTTGCTACTAATAATTCTATTACTATTATTATTATTATTATTACTACTGCGACTACTAGTGCTGTTAATTGCACGATGAGTGTTTTAATGATACCCAAGACTCTCTCTCCATCCTGGCCACATCAACCATCATTCCTTATCACATCCGGTTGATAGTATTCTCTACTCTCTCACGTCTCTCATCTACAATCTACAACTCCCTAAATGTAGGAGAGTCATATGGAAGAGTACAGAGAGAGAGAGAGAGAGAGAGAGAGCACAACATCCGGACTAAGGTAATTTTTTTAGCTCTCAAACCATAGGCAACCCTCTCACCACCACTACCTCCCCCTCACCACCCGTACCTATCCCGTCACCACCACTACTACCTCCCCCCTTCACCACCATCACCACTACCTAGCCCTTCACCTCTACTACCACCTCCCCCTCACCACTACCACCACCCCCTCACCGCCACCACTACCACTCCCCTTACCACCACTGCCTCTCCCTTCACCACCACCACCACCCCCTCACCACCACTGCCTGCCCACTCCACCTACCAGTTGTTATCACCAGTAATCTTAGTTATCAATAATAGCTGCGGCCTCCTGCAGCTTCAACACAATCATAACAGAAGTCTTCGTAGCGCTCTATCTCCCTAGGTCACTCTGGTTCATTTTGACTTATAAAAACAAACAACAACATAATTATGAGACACATGCGAGTAACTTTTATTGTAGTTACACATTCACCCAAGGACGCATGTGATCACTGAATGCGCGCAAGTAGTCATACAAGCAAACAAGGAAACACACACACACACACACACACACAGCAACACTTTATACATGTAAACATGCCAAAAAGTTCTTTCCCTCTTCTCTCTCACACATACATACCATCCCTCACCCCCACACAAGAGCGAGTTTAATATAATAATAATAATAATATTAATGACAGATAATTCTTTTAGATAACAACGAGAACTGGACCACAAAGGCCTCCGACTGACTACTGTATCACCACATCACAACGTCACCAGCACACGGGTACTCCAGCTAGTGCGTATATATATATATATATATATATATATATATATATATATATATATATATATATATATATATATATATATATATATATATATATATATATATATATATACAGTATAAATAAATAATATATAAATAATAATACTGATCAAAAACAATATTTTCTTGGAACACTTTTTATATTATTGAATGATCTTTGACAAAAAATTAAATTCACATTACCGATATTTAACGGACACACCAAAGCCAATTAACACGGTCCTTGATGTCTTAACTTATGACCCATCTTCTTGTGTCACGCGCGCGTGTGTGTATTGTGTGTGTGTGACTCTTCTCCAATAGGAAGCCATATTTTAGTGTGAGCAACACGACACGACTCACCTTCCCCATACGTCAAAGAGGCAAATCCTTCATTCTCCTTCTGAAAATGAAATCGGGAAAAATTTGTTAATAATAAAATCTCAAAATCTGTAAATGTTTACATAAAGTTGTGATTTAACACAATACATTTTGGTAATCTACACTCTGAACCCCGGGTTGAGTAATATTTTTTTTTTCAGTTTCGAGCGAGGATTCGAACACTGAAATTCCAGCCAATCACATTTCAGTTACACTAATACGACAGCCAACCACCATCGAAAGCAATGTTTACAGCATTGTGACAACAGATATGGCACGACGCGTATTCTCAGAGGAGGAGAAATTTCTGCTTGTTAATTTGGCTGCGGAAAACAGTGTCATAGAATAAAAACAAAACAGACACAGCTTCGATTCTACGAAAGACAAACAAGTGGAAAGAAGTTACCGAATATTACGACGCAAATGACAACACCCAACGAAGAACGACACACCAGGTGGACCAAAGTGAAAGTCAAAACAAAGGTTGACAGGTGAGTTTTGCAATTATTATTATCATTTTACTCTTAATACTCTAGTCATATGGATAATGATGAGGGTAATAGTTAATGGTAATTGATAATAACTTAAGCTATCAGTGAAAGTATTATCGTTCATTAAACATAAGTTTAATACTTAAGAACATGCTACCGTGAGTGTCACACCTTCAGTTATTTCTCCTCCATCATTATTAAGTACAGGGTACATGAATGTATTTTGAATGTATTTCACAAGTTGTAGGGATCTGTTGACATTAATATTACATCGTCATTGTCAGTTAGATAATTATAGTACAGTCCTAACAAATTCAGATTGTGGGCCAGAGTTATACATCAATATTTTTTATAAATAACTACAATTGTACCAAGGTATTAATAAATAACATGCACGAGCATGAATGAGTAAAGTTACAGAAACAGTTATAGAAGAGGCTTAGAATTATGAGTGATATACTGTAAATATGCATTGAGAACAGCAAAATATTGAATTTTTTTTCTATTAAGAAGTAGACATGTGCTATGTTGGATGGCGGATCAACCGTTAAGCCTACCGCCAAGCTAAATTAAAACTAGGATCGACAGATCCGATTTCAATCCCTCTTAAAGCCTTTATGCGCCAGTTCACCTAGCGTTCTGAATACCGACAAGATTAGATACTAACTCGACCCTTGGTTTAAACCTGAGTGCGGGTTCAAATCACTATTCTCTATTCGGTCGTGTTCGTGGTACTTTTCTTACACAGTTCATTATGCAGGAGAATCAGCGTGAATGTTTCATATGTATTGATAGCTGTTAGGTCTTGCCTGTGTTATGTATCATAACTTCACGTTTCCTTCACTACGGGGACGGTATTTTCAATATTTCATTTGGCTAACACCAGACGATTTTATTCAACTCAGAGATGATTCTGTACACAAGGGGTTAGTAGACTGTTTCAACTAGCTGCAATATGTCACTTTTATGTACTTCGTTCTCTACATCAATTCAAGACAAGAGTCAGACACTGTGGACAAGACAACAAGAAGCAGTAAGAAGAGCTTGACGCTCTCCACATCAGACCTTCAGCGTGACTCACCTGCTGTTCCTCACTGTCCTCGGTGGCAGCAGCCAGAAGCAGGACGTACAGCAGCAGTAAAACCCTCGACCAGCACAGCATGTTGGTGGTGTGTGGCGCTGCAAGCTGTGATGGTATAGCTAGGGTGGTGACGGTAACCTTATCTGTGCCTGTACAGTTTATCATATCTAATTTTGAAGTGTTTCCGATAAACATAAACACATCGAAGAGTTGATGCTAATTTTTCAAATGCAAACTTTTTTTTCTCCAGATGGAAACTTGCTTTAACTATCTAGTTCATTTCTACGCTGATTTATGAAAGAAAAATCATACTCACCAGTTATCCAGCACTTAGGTCTTTATATTTACGTGTGAATAAGTCTAACTTTTCAGCTTTATCTGTGTTATCATGCTCGCCTTAAGCTGGACAAGCAGTGCTTGAGGTGCTCTTATGTTACATTACATGATGTGTGACCCTGACAGCCCAAACACTCACGCCCCATCCTTGAGTGAGCCTTGTACTGTACAGTACCTTAACAGGCTACGTCTCCAACACCAGAGAGTCTTGTTGAAAAACCTTAAAAAAACACTTAATAAAATGTTGTTTTATCTCCTGATAATAATGATATCATCGTACCGGACAGGTGACGAGGCGCTTCCACCATCACCACCATTGTTTTTGCAACCACCATTACCATCATCATCACCGCCACCATAATTATTAACATCACCACCACTATCACTGCCAGTACCACCAGCACCACCATAACCACCACCGTTAGCGCTACTACCATTGATGTTGCACCTGCCATCACTACCACCATTATTAACATTAATACCACCACCACCATTACCGCTACCACTATTGTCACCATTACCAGCGCTACAAGTGTGCGGTGATGCTGACTGCGGTGGTATGGTTCTGAAGTTCCTATACATTCAACACAATCCTAGAACTGTTGTCGGGTCAAAAGGCTGAAGTAAGAAGGTGGGGGAAGGGGATAGAAAAGGAACTGTGAGTGGAATATCTGGCACGCTCTCCTATATCTGGTAATCAAGCCATACGGATTACGGATTACGATTAAACCTTCAAAGAGAGGCGGCTCAAACATGGCCGCTAATTCACGTGCTGTATATCTTTACCCATCAAAATTTTACTAACCTATGAGACGATTATCACTAATTAACCAGTAGACAATTTTATCAACACATAGATATAGTATTCCAGAGTTTCACTAGCAGCTAAGAAGGAACCCAATACAATCTGAGAACAACATTGGTATATATATTTTTTATGCAGTGAAGAGGCGTAGCATGAGTAAGTCTTCCTTGGGTAACAATGATAAGTAGATGAAATAGTTACAATGACCCATAAGAGATATAATGACCAGAATTTTAACCTTTAAGGTATATAATGAAGTTATTATGATCTATGGTTGATATAACGAAGTGTATTTGTTGTTTTTTCTTTCTAACAACGAGATAGATAGGACAAAATATAATTAACTGATGATGATGCCAAAGTTACCGTAGTTATTTAGCCATAACGTGACATGTAGTACCTAGCAACAACAACAACAACAACAACAACAATGGTAATAAATACAACACATTAGTGGTTACCGTTTGTTAATTCTGATGTTAAATCCTAACTTCATTATGTGTTAAACAAAAAGTATGCAACAGTTAAATCAAGACATGGTCAGCATTTTCAGGAATTGATCCACTTGTTACTGGTCCATCACAGCTTGAATATCTCGGTCCATCATGGCTTGAACTTCCGGGTCCATCACAGCTTGAATATCCGGGTCCATCACAGCTTGAATATCCGGGTCCACCACAGCTTGAATATCCTGTTCAAAGTAATTTCTCAGACTCTCTTCCTGTTAGTCGTGGTACTTAAACTTTTGAAAGCATAGTAATCCCGTTCCATCTCCACCATGCCTCCACTTACACCCACCCCCCATCCTTAACATGCCTCCACTTACACCCAACCCCATCCCACATGCCTATTACACCCACCCCCATCCTCCAACACATGCCCCCACCCACCCACCCCCATCCCTAACATGCCTCCACCTACACCCAACCCCACCCACACATGCTCACCTCCACCCCCACCCCATCCTCCCACAACCTATGCTCCACCCACCACCCACCCCCATCCCCACATGCTAATCATGCTCCCCAACACCCACCCCCATCCCACAAACATCCCCTCCACACACCCACACCCCCCCATCCCCATGGTCCACCTGCACCCCCATCCATGCCCACTTGCCCCACCCCCCACGCCTCCCTACGCACCCCCATGCCAACGTACACCCCCCATCCCAACATGCCTCCACCACCCACCCCCATCCCAACGTATCCACCTCACCCACCCCCCATCCCACACCCAAGCCTCCACGCTACACCCACCCCACGTAACACTCCGTAACATCACCTGCACCCACCCATCACATCGCCCCTACACCCAATCATGCCCCTATCACCCACCCCCCCCATCCCAACATGCCTCCACCCACACCCACCCCCATCCCGCCCCCTCCACCACCACCTCACCAGCAACATATCCACCCACCCACCCCATCCCAACGCCTCCACTTACCACCCACATGCCTCACCCCCCACCCCATCCTTAACATGCCTCCACCCACCCACCCCCATCCCAACATGCCTCCACCACACCCACCCCCATCCTTAACGCTCCCACCACCCACCCCCATCCCAACATCCACCCACACCCACCCCCATCCCATGCACCTCACACCCACCCCCATCCCACCTGCACCCACGTCCACCACCACCCCAACATGCCTCCACCTACACCCACCCCCATCCAACATGCCACCCCCACACCCACCCCCATCCTAATGCGTGCCCACCCCCCCACCCCAACAGCCCCCACCGCACCAACATGCTCCACCCACACCCCCGTCCTAACATCCACGTGCCCCACCCCCCCCAACATGCCTCACACCCCCCCGTAACACACCCACACCCCCCCCATCCAAATGCCTACACCCCCCCATCGTAACGGCCCACCTGCACCCACCCCCATCATCCACACACCCCCCATCGCCTCCACCTGCACCCACCCCCATCCACCAACATGCACTCCACCACACCCACCCCCCATCCCAACATGCCTCCACCTACCACCCCACCCACATCCCCAGCATGCATCCCTGCCGCTTCCCCCCCCATCCAACATCACCTCACCCCCCCCATCCCCACACACCCACCCCCATCCTTAACATGCCTCCACCCATCACCACCCACCCACCATCCCTCAACATGCCTCCACCATCACACCTCACCACACCATCCACATCATGCACACCCATCCCAACATGCCTCCACCTACACCCACCCATCCCAACATGCCCCCACCACACCCACCCCCATCAGCAACATCCACCACCCACCCCCACCCATTCTAACGCTCCACCCACACCCCCCATCCCAACATGCTCCACCACCCACCCCATCCCACATGCCCCAACACCCTCCACCATCCCATGCTCCACCTCACCCACCCCCCATCCTTAACATGCCTCCACCTACACCCACCCTCATCATCACACATGCTCACCTACCACCCACCCCCCATCCTTAACATGCCTCCACTTACACCCACCTGACTACAGTGATGATATGGACCAAGGGACTGTTGTTAGCGATGTTTCTTGTCACAGTGTTCGAGTATTAACAACGGTTGTAATTTTGGTGGTGATGGTTGTGGTGGTGATAGTTTTGATATTGGTGATGATGGTGGTGTTGGTTGTGATGGCGGTGATGCTGATAGTGCTGGTGATGGTGATGGATGTGATGGTAGAGATGATGGTGGTAGCTTCTCGTCAGCTACAGGGTACAAGGCTCAATCAAGGATGGTGCGTGAGTGTTTGGGCTGTTACACATCATTTAATGTAACATAAGAGCACCTAAAGTACTGCTTGTTCAGCTTAAGGCGAGCCCTGCACCATCAGGCAATGATGTCACAGATAAAGCTGATAAGCTAGACTTATTCACACGTAAATATAAAGACCTAAGTGCTGTATAACTGGTGAGTATGATATTTCTTTCATAAATCAGCGTAGAAATTAACTAGATAGTTAAAACAAGTTTCCATCTGGAGAAAAATATATTTGCATTTGAAAAATTAGCATCAACTCTTCGATGTGTTTATGTTTATCGGAAACACTTCAAAATTAGATATGATAAACTGTACAGGCACAGATAAGGTTACCGTCACTATTCCAGCTAGTCCATCACAGCTTGCAGCGCCACACACCACCAACATGCTGTGCTGGTCAAGGGTTTTACTGCTGCTGTACGTCCTGCTTCTGGCTGCTGCCACCGAGGACAGTGAGGAACAGCAGGTGAGTCACGCTGAAGGTCTGATGTGGAGAGCGTCAAGCTCTTCTTACTGCTTCTTGTTGTCTTGTCCACAATGTCTGGCTCTTGTGTTGTTTTGTGATGAGCCAGGTGCTGCTACAGGCAGAGTGTCAGCACCACGCTGGTACAATTTTTGACACATCGTTGCTCAAATATTGAATGGTTGAAGGCATAATGTAGAGAATGGAGTATATAAAAGCGCTCTATTGCAATTAAGATATAATATACAGCAACAAGTGAAGGAGGGGATAATGCATAATAACACGTACAAGACATGATGCATACCAACACCTAGAAGACATGACACATAATAAAACTAAAGGAACATATCAGATGGTTCTCATACACAATGATCTATGGTTGAATAGTCCCACGTACACAGCAGTAAAGGTCTTAGGTTTCTGATGACGGAGCCAAATAATCTAGTAAGCATCCTACCCTACCATGTGCAACTTGAGCTATACCATTTGGGTGCTTTTATTCGCTCCACAAAGTATCTTACACAGGGAACCGATGAATTTCAAAATGTACGCTTCGGGTCCTGTTGTCTTGGTAGATTTGTCAAATTCCTTCGTCCGATGTATCATATTGTCTCACACAAAATCGTAAAGATGTACTTTGGAGTGAGTGAAAATCTATTATTGTACCCCTTCGCTGTTTTTCCTTCCAGCATGCATAACCATATCACCCTCGTCTGCCTTTCTATCACATTCAACTACATTCTTTCATCTGGTTAGCAAACAAAACTTATGAGAATGATGGAAGTATATTTTTGTGTACTTTAGTTATATATTATGTCATTATAATTTTCAGTTTTGTTTCATGTATAATTCTTGTCTCTTTTACGTATAATAGTTCCCTTTGTCTAGGAATATAATATTTATGTATAAGTATGTCAGGATTTATAATGAGTCACCAACATAAAATGAAAATATTTTTTGGGTTTAATTTTCAGAAGGAAGAGGAGGATGAAATTGACTATATGACGTTCGGGGAAGGTAAGTAATAAGTGTTTGCTTCTCACACACACACACACACACACACACACACACACACACACACACACACAAGCGTCGTGAGATACCTCTCTTGTTATGGAAGTATGAGGTTCTCCTTAAAGGTGATTTATTTACCTTGTTAGATTACATTAGTGTTGAAGCTGCCGTACTGATAAGGTGAGCCAGGTGACCGGTCCTAGGATAGTTGTGATCCACTAATGACCAGACGTGACTATACCTTCTGACCACTTCACTGAAGGATCACTTTTCATTGTGATTCTTCTCAATGTTTGGAACTATTTCTCGTCATATAAGTTTGAAAAATCTCAAGACAATTTATCTATTAATTATCAGTAATTTGATTATAATTTTTCCGACTGGAATATCTCAAAATTATCAGCAGTTATTGATAAAATTACAAAAAAAAGGTTAAAATTATGTTTTTGATCAGCATGTAACTTCAATGTGAATACTTGTCATCAACTTGGAATAATATCAGAGTCTTTCACTTTTCGGCTGAAGGACTGCATGTTGTGGCGCAGTTGTCAAGCGGTGTATTGCCTACATAATATCTAATCTTGATTCTCGACAACAATGTTATTCCTAGAACCTGATGGCGTCAATCAGGAGGTTTTTCTCCCGGGAGGCAGAGACAGACTGGTCCCACATCACACATTATAAACAACGTCCAAGACACATTAACGTGTAGCTGTGAGGTCAAGTGTGTTCTTGTTGTTACGGTTGTAGTTCTGAGATAAAAATAGGCCCATTTATTTGTACCTGACCTTGGTAAGTAACTGCGTTTACGTGTACGTGTGTGTGTGTGCGTATGTGTGTGTGTGGGAGGGACAGATAGTGAGGGTTGCGCTGATGAACACGTCATTTGGATACACTAAAAATTTCTTTCCATTTTACAAGTTAATAATCTTATCGTGATACTTTATGTGACACATCACGGCATGTTGGTCCATTCCTCAGTCTGGTCTCTGATTTCTTCCTCAGTCTATACGTATCATAATGTTAGCGTCATGTGGCAACAACTTTAATCATTCCATAACAACATAACTCACTGGAGAGAATATTCAGGACATAATCTTTGACTCACACCACCTGATGATTGAATACTCTAGTGCTACCTTAGGGGCTTCGGTTAGGTTAGATTAGGTTAGGTTTGCTTAAAATGAAAGGAAGAACTAGAGTGAAAAAATAAATCTTGACAAGTCTGTCCTTAGAATTCAATGGTCACAACTCGTATGGACGTCACCCCTCCCCCCTCCGCCTACCTCCTTCACTCAACCGCTTACAGCTGATGAACCTGGTATGTTATCCTCCATGATAAGTCGTTATCTCGATTGCTGGCTCTCTGCTGGGAAGGTTAACCGTTCATGCTGGCTACATATTGGAGCAAAGCGAGGTGGTGAGGGCTGGGGTTGAGGAGGTTCCTAATCACCTTCTCTCTATCCGTATAAAAAATTTACACAACATTATTGATTACATAGGAAATAACTGCCGGAGGAGTGGTCGTATATACATCATCATTTGTACACCCATTAGGAACTAAATGTAGGACTGTTTAAATCTAAAAACGTAAATTATGGTAACCTAACCTAACCTGACCTGAGCTGACTTGACCTGACCTGACCTTATCTAGCCTGACCTAACCTAACCTAACCAGACCTAACCTTATCTAGCCTGACCTAACCTGACCTAAGCTGACTTGACCTGACCTGACCTGACCTGACTTGACCTGACCTGACCTGATCTGACCTAACCTAGCCTAACCTAACCTGAATCCTGTTAATTAAAACTTCTACAGACTAACGTAATATGACCTAACATAACGAAACCTGTAAAAAACTAACTTAAATTACCTTAAACTGACCTAATTCAGCGTCAACATTCATACCCACAACGAATAGTATAACACAGTGTTTGGTCCCTGTGTTACAAGTGCACTAATGAGGGTCTAGTTCATCATCGTACCGTAACCTTAGTTAACTCTACATAACAGCTGCCTATCTTGATAAAATCACCACGAAGTCAAATGATCTGCAATAGCGATAGAATGATAGAAAATGTGATATAAATTACTGTACCTGTAGGAATCGACGCCATACTGTCCAGGTAGTGTAAACGAAGGTGCGGGCATTTATTATCAACAAGTTTTCTCATTCTGGCTTCTGTTGACCGACCTCACCCTTCCTCACTCTAGCTTAGGTCGTCGCTTCATTAGCCTTTATCTTCTATCTTGACAAAAGTCCTGATGTCGACAACCCTAACTTATTTTTTTTACATTCTTGTTCTTTCCATCACATTTTCTTCTTTCATTAATGCCTCAAATTCTGTTCCTTACAGAGGTAGTGTTTTATATATTATTACTCTTATGTTTCACCCGTTTCTTCCATATTGTTTAAGGTTGTCAATTCCTCTCATATTCTTTTTTCATCTTTTACTCAACATCACTACTAATACCTTTACATTAACTTCAAGTCCTCCTCTCTCTATATCTATCTTCCATACTTAAATATTTATCCTATAACTTTTCTTCAGTATCGTTTATAATTATCAAAATCATCTACCCACAATGCTCCCCTTCATGCTCCTCAACTATGCTCTATATGGAGTTTCATCAGCGGAGCACATGACTATTTCACTCCCACAGAAAAGATGATAATGATTTAGACTATCATGTGCACAATGTGTGGCAAGTTATCATACGTGGTGAAAGTTGAAAAGTAGATGATGCAAAATATTCTGTATAATATTTTTGTTTTCTAATAATTACTATGTTTAAAATAGATTATTCTGTAAAATTTAAGTGAGAACAGCATTGGGTTATAAAAGTATTTTTTTATAGTCCGTTGATGTAATTTGGGGTCATCTACAGGTCATTATAAAGGTATAAAAAGGTCAAATATAAAGTGAAGGTCATTCATGCTCGCTCCATAACACCTAACCCTCTTCCTGTTGTTATTTGAAGCAGTGTGTGTGTGTGTGTGTGTGTGTGTGTGTGTGTGTGTGTGTGTGTGTGTGTTTCTATTGTTTATAACAGTTCCGACAGAAATCTCTATGTATCGGGCGACGACGTAAAGGTTATCGGAGATGTTGTGGTGTTGGTGATTATTTGACAAATATTCATATGGGTTTGTGCCACTTTAAAAGGTTTATAGAACCACAAATTCACCATAATGTTACTTCAGTAGTATTGATGTGTCCTTATTATCGAATGAGAAACATTACCTTGGTGATCGGCCTACTGTCGGCTTACGGTTAATAGGTTTGTTTAATATTTGACGAACTCCTTAAGTATTTGGCCAAAGTATCGTCTTTCAGGTATCTGCTGAAAATGTCCAACTGTTTTGTCATACTGGAATTAAGGCTTTTTTTTAACATTTTACAGTTACCATCAGGTCATATTTTACTGTATTTTTTCGCTCGTTTGAATTACCAACACCTACCATTATTCTTATTTCGGATTTATTTTTAATTATGAAACAATTATTACTCACTTTTTTACAGTTATATGGACCACTTTTTGTACCGCTGGTTGAGTTTCTAAGAGGAGTAACATCATTTCCATACCCAAGTTTTATGTCACCTTACTCTTAACTGTTATTCCTTCATCACCTCTCACGCTGCCTTGTCTAACTCCTTGTTTAACTCTCACCTAACTAGTAAGATCATTACTTTCTAACACAACAGATTCCCGATGGCAGTAAACACATTATGACATCATCATCATTATTGACTACTGTATATTTTCCGAGACACACACAAGCATACACATACTCCCTTCCTCTTTAAAAAAATTACCAAAGTGTTTCTCACATCCAGCACCACCTCTCACACCTATTGTCTCCCTCAGAAGGGCAGCCCCTCAACGTGACAGTGGAGGCAGTGTCAAGCACCGCCCTCAACGTGTCATGGGACCCACCTGATGAAGAACCTCAGTACTATGAAGTCACTGATGTTAGAGATTCTTTTAACGAATTGGCATATACCACCTACTGTTTAATAGATGAACTACAACCTTGTAAAACATATTTTTATACTGTAGCGTCTCATTACGGAAACAAACAGTATGCTTCTCCCCCTACGTCTGGCACAACATTAGCTTCAGGTAAGAGTTGTGTTGCTCTCATCAAGTCTTATTTTTCTATTATGTTTAAGATGAAAATTTAACATTAAGAGACACTTGTTTGTTGTGGTAGGTCATAATAGATTTGATAATTTCAAATAATATATTATCAACTATAAATACTGTACAGAATTATTTGGAGGCTACGATAGCGTGCGGTCCACAAATATATCTTTAGTCTAACCTAGCCTAACCTAACCAAGCCTAACGTAACCCAACCCAACCTAACCTAACCTAACCTACCCTAACCTAACAGCGTCTCTACAATTTTATAGGTAGTCAGGTAGTGTGTGTGTGTGTGTGTGTGTGTGTGTGTGTGTTGTGTGTGTGTGCGTGCGCGTTTCGGTGCTGCCATGTGTGTGCGTGTGTGTGTGTGTGTGTGTGTGTGTGTGTGTGTGTGTGTGTGTGTGTGTGTGCGCGTTTCGGTGCGTATGTGTGTGTGTGCGTTTGTGTGTGTGTGTGTGTGTGTGTGTGTGTGTCTGGCTGTGTCTGTATGTGTGTGTGTGTGTGTGTGTGTGTGTGTGTGTGTGTGTGTGTGTGTGTGTGTACCTTAACTAAATCTTTCACATCTTTCCTCAGTACCGCCACCACCACTGAACTGTGACTTTGACCGCATTACCACAAACTCGATGTATCTTACCTGGAGTGCGCCAGACACAGCGTGTCATATTAGAAACTACAATATCAGCTGGTCATGGTCCAGTCTGTGGGAGGACGACCACGACTCAGATGAAACACTCGGTATCGGAACTCAGACTTATCTGAGAGGCCTTCCTCCGTACGCCAACGTCACAGTTAATATTGCAGCAGCCACTGATGCAGGTTTTGGTCCACCTATAACATGCTGGAGTGTTACACAACAAGACAGTAAGTTGACTCTCTTTATTATTATTCATTTATGTGTAGATGATACACTGTACTCCACCGTCAACCAGAACACAATACTTACATCAGTGGCAACAACTTACAGTTTGGATGGTGTGTTTGACCAGAAGACGATTCAATGTTTAATTTCATTATCCGAGCCATAACTTGCGTCTCCGTATTTAGATAAGCATTACGTCACAACTACCTGGCCGATATGGATATAAACTTTGCTACAACTTTTAGAGTCATTGGGCGTAAGGTCAAGGTCATTGTTGCTGTACAGAGAATTTGGGTTTGTGAACCGTAACTCCAGATTCAACACACCGGTGGCTCTCACATTACCTCTACTGCCCTGAGGGAGAGGAAAGTTCCCCATAATACAAGGTCAAAGGTCAAGGTCAGAGATGAATATGTACATGAGAAATCTTTTGTTAATATCCCGGGTATTTGTGTACAGCTTCTCACTCTTCGTCAAGTTGACTTTAGTTTTCAGTGATTCATTTTATGAATATCATTATCCCTGAAACCTTGGTGTTGGTGGTCCACACCCTGGTGTTGGTGGTCCACACCCTGGTGTTGGTGGTCCACACCCTGGTGTTGGTGGTCCACACCCTGGTGTTGGTGGTCCACACCCTGGTGTTGGTGGTCCACACCCTGGTGTTGGTGATCCACACCCTGGTGTTGGTGGTCCACACCCTGGTGTTGGTGGTCCACACCCTGGTGTTGGTGGTCCACACCCTGGTGTTGGTGGTCCACACCCTGGTGTTGGTGGTCCACACCCTGGTGTTGGTGGTCCACACCCCTGGTGTTGGGTGTTCCACACCCTGCAAAGTTGGTGGTCCACACCCTGGTGTTGGTGGCCCACACCCCTGGTGTTGGTGGTCCACACCCTGGTGTTGGGTGGTCCACACCCTGGTGTTATGGTCCACACCCCTGGTGTTGGGGATCCACACCCTGGTGTTGGTGGTCCACACCCTGGTGTGTTGGTGGTCCACACCCTGGTGTTGGTGGTCCACACCCTGGTGTTGGGTGGTCCACACCCTGGTGTTGGTGGTCCACACCCTGGTGTTGGTGGTCCACACCCTGGTGTTGGTGGTCCACACCCTGGTGTTGGTGGTCCACACCCTGGTGTTGGTGGTCCACACCCTGGTGTTGGTGGTCCACACCCTGGTGTTGGTGGTCCGCACCCTGGTGTTGGTGATCCACACCCTGGTGTTGGTGGTCCATACACTGTTGTTGGTGGTCCACACCCTGATGTTGGTGGTCCACACCCCTGGTGCAGGTCCACACCGTGCTGGTGGTCCACACCCTGGTGTTGGTGGTCCACACCCTGGTGTTGGTGGCCACCCTGGTGTTGGTGATCCACACCCTGGTGTTAGTTGTGGTCCATACACTGTTGTTGGTGGTAATGCTGACCAATAACATAACCTTATGTATAAATCTCTAGTTCCGTGTATCATTGTTCATGGTATAATTGGTAAATAATCGTAATAACATTTATGTTCAATAAGTGACGGGATATTTTCAGTCCACCTCTTTGAAGACGCTAAAGTTTAGTAATATAATTAGTGACATAATCTTAAAACTCATGTAGTTAGAGTAATTAATTTTTACGCAACTGTTAATGAAGTAACTAGTTGTCCATAATCATCTTTGATATAAAACAAACTTCAGATGATGACTCTTATATCTTTACCATTTGAATCAATAACAGAGGAAGGAACAGTTCTCGTTAACAACCGAGGAGTCGTTCTTTAAGGCTAATTATATCATAAGTTTTCTGCTAAAATGTGAGTTCTAAATTTCTTGAAGAGGTTCATCAGAATGCTGTTATTGCACTTTGTATTTTATCTGGTACAATGACATTAAATCCGTTTTCCAAGAATAGCAAACTATTGTCATCTTTCAACTACCTACTATACAGGTTGAAAATACATATGCCCACAAAATATTAATATTTATGTCAAAGTTAAGGAAAACAGATTGAGAGAAACTGTAAGTTAAAGATATAAGAAAAACTAGCCTGGAGCTTCACTAAACTCCACTCACCAGGCGCCAACATTCTCCTGCCTAAAGTTACTGCCTGGGCTTCCTCACACTGGACAGTGTATACAAGCGTGTGTAGGATAACATACTAATGAAGAATTTATTCTCTATTCTTGATATATTTAATTACTCTTACTAAGATTTCGACAAAGTTTTCATGTCTTGGAGAAGTAAATGGGAAAGTTTGTATTGAGCGCCTTTGAGAACTACAGTTTAACTATTATTGTTAACATAAACTGTACCTGGACATACTAGAGCCGGGGCCGCCTGTCAACGTGACTGCTACAACAGCTGACCTCGCAGTATCTGTCACCTGGGAGAAGCCTGAGAAAACCAATGGAATAATCACAAACTATGTCATCTCTGTCAGTGAACAGGACACAACTGTAGATGGAGAAACCACAAATGTCACCATTCCGGATCTACAGAAATGTAAACTATACAATATTACAGTCATGGCGGCGACTGTGGCAGGGTGCGGGGAAGCGACTGACCCACTCCCTGTTTTTTTCAATGATAGCGGTAAGTGTCCTAAGTTGGTTGATTTCATTCACTACAGTAATCTTTAAATATATTTATATACATACACACCACTTCAACGGTAACCTATGTGACCTAAACCATCTTGTGTACCATCACAGTTTTACCCAGCGACGTGAAGTGTAACCTTAGTGGTTCCAATGTAATGGTGACCTGGCAACAGCTTCTCCCACAATGCCCACCGTCCTCCTACAACATCAGCTGGAGCGGCACATCATTGTGGTCTGATGATACAGGTAATCTGATGAAATATTTTATAATGATAGACAGTTCCAAGACTGTTACTTTAAAGAGAAATTTAGTTAAAAATTATTAGACTACTTGCTGGTAGAAAAATGTTGCACTAATGTTTTTATTATCAAGAGAATATTTCGTAAATTAAGATTCTATTTCTTAATGGTTATCTTTTAATACATTGTTTCTTGCAGATACTAATAGTAGTTCCATGGACTGGACGAATGAAGACCCATTAAGCTATGAGCTGCCGCACTCTCTGCCTTATACAAATTACAGCGTGTGTGTAAGTGTGGATGGTTACACCAGCGACACTGGGTGCTGCCAACGAGTCACTCCACAGGCTAGTAAGTCACTTAAGATGTTTTCTGGTTGGTTTGCGTATTTTTGTGTTAAAGTTCGTAATTATTTAAGTTTTCATAAGTTCATAATTCACTAGTTGTTTATATTGATAACTAATACTATGAGAGGATCTGTTACGCCAGTAGATATACTGATAGTAAGTAGCTTAGACAAAGTAACATCTTTTGTAGGATTTATAACTTAGGCTAGACAATTTCTCCTGGTAAAAAGAGTAAAGTTATTTTTGGTAAAATGATTAGAAGTTTATTCACATTTGTGTACACCTTAGCTAGGAACACTTGTGTACACCTTAGCTAGTAACAACTGTGTACACCTTAGCTACTAACATCTGTGTACACCTTAGCTACTAACATCTGTGTACACCTTAGCTACTAACATCTGTGTACACCTTAGCTAGTAACAACTGTGTTCACCTTAGCTACTAACAACTGTGTACACCTTAGCTAGTAACAACTGTGTACACCTTAGCTAGTAACTTCTGTGTACACTTTAGCGAGTAACAACTGTGTACACCTTAGCTAGTAACATCTGTATACACTTTAGCTAGTAACAACTGTGTACACCTTAGATAGTAACAACTGTGTACACCTTAGCTAGTAACAGTTGTGTACACCTTAGCTAGTAACAACTGTGTACACCTTAGCTAGTAACAGTTGTGTACACCTTAGCTAGTAACAACTGTGTACACCTTAGCTAGTAATAACTGTGTACACCTTAGCTACCTACAAATGTGTACACCTTAGCTAGTAACAGCTGTGTACACCTTAGCTACTAACAAATGTGTACACCTTAGGTAGTAACAACTGTGTACTCCTTAGCTAGTAACAGCTGTGTACTCCTTAGCTAGTAATATCTGTGTGCACCTTAGCTAGTAACAACTGTGTACACCTTAGCTAGTAATAACTGTGTACACTTTAGCTAGTAACAACTGTGTACACCTTAGCTAGTAACAATTGTGTGCACCTTAGGTAGTAACAATTGTGTGCACCTAAGCTAGTAGCAAATGTGTACACTTTAGCTAGTAACAACTCTACACAGTCTTGTAAATGGACCTAAGTTTCACGGCGTCACAATTCAGAGCGGTCTACCATGTTCCATAAAAGCCGTTGTTATCTCTCGCCCTTCACCACAACCGAAGGATATCAAATTGGGCTTCTCCTTCCGTCTTCTCATCCGTCATGGTTAGTGTTAGTACAAAAACTTTCGACGGATCTAAAAATATCCTGTCACGTTGGTACACAAGGAGGTTTGGTATTTCTGTAGCCTGGGACTGTCTGGAGAGAGTTAGTAGACTATGTTCATAAATAGACTATCTGTGTTATTAAACGATTTTCACTAAATATGTGACCTTGGAGATATTTTACGATACCTTAGGGGCTTCTCTACAATCTATTTTGTTAGATTTCCGGAAAATATTTTGTATCATGATTTGCTTCAGAATTTAGAAATCATACTATTCACCTTCCCTTCCATCTGTCCTCTCCTATTTTTGTCCCTCTCTCCAGGGTTGAACTCTAGTCTGGATTTGTATTTTACTTTCACGAACTTTGACTTGAACAATGGCTAATATTTTCATATATGGATAATTGCCTAATAACGATGACTTTTATGTATTTATTGTTTTTGAAAACTTTTCACAGGTCATAAACGATAGTGCATACTATCATAAAGCATTAATACAAATACTTTAATAGAAAACCTAAGCTAACGTAACGTAATGTAACCTAACCTAATCTATCCCCATTTAGTGACACACACACACACACACACACACACACACGCACACACAAAGACTATCATAGCCAGGCCGAAATAAATTCTACTCACGAAAAATATCCTGTCAGTCCTTTGACCATATCATGAACCTGTGAATCCGAGACATAACACATTGTTGGTCGTAAATTGTCTCGGATTCACAGGTTCATGAGTCTCAGGGCTCGTGGATGAAACGGTGATCTGACAGAACTTTTATCTAACGTGACCTTACGTTAAATACAAAAATGTGATATATATCTCATTATGACTATAAATTAATGTTTGCCCAGATGGTCGTGTTCTCAGACAACCGCTACTAAAGTCAAGAAATAGCAAGAGAAAAAAAAAGTTATTATTAAAATTTTTAGCAAATTTTCACCAATTTGTAGTTAACTCAAACGAAGACCAAACTATTAAGCAGCTTCAATATTGTTCAGTTGTTACCTTTCGTCTTTGCCAGAAAAAACAGTTTTAAAGACTTCTGATGACCAATAACTTAACCTTATGTATAAATCTCTAGTTCCGTGTATCATTGATCATGGTATAATTGGTAAATAATCGTAATAACATTTATGTTCAATAAGTGACGGGATATTTTCAGCCCACCTCTTTGAAGACGCTAAAGTTTAGTATTATAACTAGTGACATAATCTCAAAACTCATGTAATTAGAGTAATAAATTTTTACGTAACTGTTAATGAAGTTACTAGTTGTCCATAATCATCTTTGATATAAAACAAACTTCAGATGATGACTCTTATATCTATACCATTTGAATCAATAACAGAGGAAGGAACAGTTCTCGTTAACAACCGAGGAGTCGTTCTTTAAGGCTAATTATATCATAAGTTTTCTGCTAAAATGTGAGTTCTAAATTTCTTGAAGAGGTTCATCAGAATGCTGTTATTGCAGTCTGTATTTATCTGGTACAATGACATTAAATCCGTTTTCCAAGAATAACAAACTATTGTCATCCTTCAACTACCTACTATACAAGTTGAAAATAAATATGCCCATAAAATAGTTAATATTTATGTCAAAGTTAAGGAAAACAGATTGAGAGAAACTGTAAGTTAAAGATATAAGAAAAACTTGCCAGGAGCTTCACTGAACTCCACTCACCAGGCGCCAACATTCTCCTGCTTAAAGTTACTGCCTGGGCTTCCTCACACTGGACAGTGTATACAAGCGTGTGTAGGATAACATACTAATGAAGAATTTATTCTCTATTCTTGATATATTTTATTACTCTTACTAAGATTTCGACAAAGTTTTCATGTCTTGGAGAAGTAAAAGGAAAGGTTTGTATTGAGCGCCTTTGAGAACTACAGTTTAACTATTATTGTTAACATAAACTGTACCTGGACATACTAGAGCCGGGGCCGCCTGTCAACGTGACTGCTACAACAGCTGACCACGCAGTATCTGTCACCTGGGAGAAGCCTGAGAAAACCAATGGAATAATCACAAACTATATCATCTCTGTCAGTGAAGAGGACACAACTGTAGATGGAGAAACCACAACTGTCAACATTCCGGATCTAGAGAAATGTAAACTATACAATATTACCGTCATGGCGGCGACTGTGGCAGGGTGGGGGGAAGCAACTGATCCACTCCCTGTTTTTTTCAATGATACCGGTAAGTGTCCTAAGTTGGTTGATTTCATTCACTACAGTAATCCCTAAATATATTTATATACATACACACCACTTCAGCGGTAACCCATGTGACCTAAGCCATCTTGTGTACCATCACAGATTTACCCAGCTCCGTGAAGTGTGACCTTAGTGGTTCTAATGTAATGGTGACCTGGCAACAGCTTCACCCACAATGCCCACCGTCCTCCTACAACATCAGCTGGAGCGGCACATCATTGTGGTCTGATGATACAGGTAATCTGATGAAATGTCTTATAATGATAGACAGTTCCAAGACTGTTACTTTAAAGAGACATTTAGGTAAAAATTATTAGACTACTTGCTGGTAGAAAAATTTTGCACTAATTTTTTTATTATCAAGAGAATAAAAATTTCGTAAATTAAGATTCTATTTCTAATGGTTATCTTTTAATACATTGTTTCTTCCAGATACTAATAGTAGTTCCATGGACTGGATGAATGAAGACCCATTACGCTATGAGCTGCCGCACTCTCTGCCTTATACAAAGTACAGCGTGTGTGTAAGTGTGGATGGTTACACAAGTGACACTGGGTGCTGCCAACGAGTCACTCCACAGGCTAGTAAGTCACTTAAGATGTTTTCTGGTTGGTTTGCGTATTTTTGTGTTAAAGTTCGTAATTATTGAACTTTTCATAAGTAAGTAATTCACTAGGGGTTAATATTGATAACTAATACTATGAGATGATCTGTTACACCAGTAGATAGTTAGTAGTTAAGACTAAAACGCCCTTCATAATATTCTTAATGATATAAGAGCTTCATACACATAACCTTCTCCCATATATACTGACTGCAGTATCGTCTCATATTAATGACTTTCAGCTCCAGGACCTCCTGAACTCTTAAACCTGCACAACGATAAAACTTCTCTCATTGTTAAATGGACTGAACCTGAAGAAAAGAATGGCATAATTGACGAGTACAGAATCACTTGGACTGACTCAAAAGGTACTTCTAATAGCACCACAATACCCAAAGAAAGTTGCTGCTCACACACAATCAATAATCTAACTCCGTGTGAGAACTACACCGTCAGCGTCTCAGCTCACACAGTAGATTGGGGGGAGGAATCCCCTACAAAAAAAACATTTATCCCAAATTTCGGTAAGTGTATTTGTTCGCATCAAAATGTATATTGTAAACTAACCACTTGAGCAGTGCCGGATTTAGACCTGTGGAGGCCCATGGGCAGCCTCTTTGTGGAGGCTCCCCTCATTATAACTACCCAAGAGGGTGGGGTGGCGAGTTATATTGAGGAAATTAGAACATTGAGAATTTTTTAATTAACTGTATATTTATTGATAGTGTACAAATTCCCAACACACACACACACACACACACACACACACACACACACACAAGTGAGACATGACTGGAGTCATTCATGTGGTTTCAAGTCGACCAGCCCTGATATGTGGAGGCCCCTGGGCAGCTGCCCACTTTGCCCACTCCTGAATCCGGCCCTGAACTTGAGGGAAATATTGGCTATACTTTCTTTATGCTATAGGAAGGGAAGTTATGTATGATCTTATAAAGTATTTTCTTTAAGTGTCGAAAGTATGACAATAAATTCTGTCAGTCATTATTTTTGTAATATAGCCCAACAAGTTTCCCTCGGAGGGTCTCTAGTGATGATGTGTTTATTTGTTTTGATTAATAATACAAAATTCCGTGTAAATTTGTGCTGTTATTCATGTTCTTTGTTATATGTCGCCTTTGATTGTCATTGATCCACCTTAGTGTTAAGTGTTGTCATTTATTACAAAACAAAGCAACACAAAAGCTCTAATGATCTTAAGGTTAAACCGGTTTATATTTCATGGTATTTTCTTTATCGTTATTCGTCTATGATCGTGTACATTGTTCATATACGATATATTCAGGCACTATTTTCGCTGATTAATGTGTTCGTGTCCAGACTGACATTTTCTTATAATACAGTTACAGATTCCGGCCTGAAGTGTGACGGCAGTAATTCTCGGGAAGCTCACATCTCCTGGTCCCTCGCCGTACATGACTGCTTGGTGGACGAATACTTTTTGAACTGGACAACAACTGTTCAGTGGAATGGCCATCACAGTTAGTCTTTGTTATTATTATTATTATTATTATTATTATTATTATTTTTTTTTTACAGGGAATTGCCAATTCGGGTACAAGTCATCGACCACAACGGGGCCTGAGAGGCAAAAAGTAAGAGAAAAATTAGTTAAAAATAGAAAAGAAAAAGATTACATTAAATACCCCACGAAGATGCCGGAAAACCAGCTTTCTGAAGTGAGACAGATTGTATGAGTATGGAAACGCCGAAGAAGGCAGAGCATTTCACAGTTCGGAGATGTGAGGAAAGAAGGATGTATTATAACGGGTTATTCTACTGTGACCGACTTCTACAGAGAAGCGATGGGCTCCGCGGGCAAAACGAGTGTTACAAGCCTACGGCCTTGCTGGTGGTACACAGGATGCCAAATCCACTGATCATTGCCCATTTAAGTACCTGTAAAGAGAGAGAGAGTGAAGCAACATTGCGGTGAAGAGAGAGGGAAGATTGTTGACTAAAGGAGGAGAGTTAATAAGACGAAATACCTTTGATTCTACCCTATCTAACAGTTGGACAGAAGAAGAGCCACCCCAGATATTAGAGCAGTACTCCAAGTTAGGACGAAAGAATCCCTTATTTACTTGAAGCAACTGCTCAGTAGTGGATAGTTTCGGCATCTGTACAGCATTTCCTGCTTTCGGGAGGCAGCTTTAGCTATGTTGTGGACGTGTGGCAGAATGATTGTGCACCTGAAATGTAATTGGTGGGAGATCATTTAGTTTGGAAAGCGTAATTGGTAAATACTGAGTTTTTTGCTGTTGAATTTAACTAAGTTTCTACCTCCCCGTTCGGAGATGCTGCACAGATCCGCATTGATAGATGTAATGATATCAGCTCCAGAAACAGATGTAGTTTGAGAAATAGGAGACAGGTAAAATGTGAAGAAGAGTGAAGAGTGGAATCATCAACCTAAGAATTAATAGAATTAGTCGTAGTGTGAAGTAAATCATTGATAAAAAGAAGGAAGAGAGTAGGTGAAAGAACAGAACCCTGTGGGAGACCACTATTGGCAGAGAAAGAGCGAGCGATCGATCCCTCGACAACAACTACCATAAGGATTTGTTGGATTTGATGGGTGGGAAGGAAACACGGGGTTGAGCTAACTTTATTTCTTTATTGTTTCGGGCTGCACAGAACCCATCTTCAGATAGAATACTGTAAGTGAAGGAATTCAGAGACTTATGTACCCCGGGTGCACTCGGGGTACGTAAGGCACTGACAGACTTTTTGACCAGCCATATTTGTTTACATAAATTTACTCTCAGAGCTCTCTTAAGCCCTTAAAAGCCCTCGGTAGGACTCCTAAAATGTATCCAATCTGAGGATACTTTTAGGAATTAAAAGTCATTGTGATTTACTCTGAGCCAATCCTAACATTTGGAGTAAAATTTCAACTCCGAGAGTAATTTTTAGCTCATAGAGGTTTTTTAAATACCGGCCCTGCAAACCAAGAGTTAAGCCAAAAAGTCAGGTAAGTCCAGGTCGGGTCAGATCAGGGACGGTCAGGAGTTACAACATACAGAATGTTGAACATCTTTCATTCACTTCATATAATGGTATTCTGTAACTGTTATAATAAAAGTTTATAAAGTGAGATCATCAATGACGTTCAAGGAAACTGAGAATTGGGTATTTCACAGATTCCAACAGCGCTACTATCAAAGGTGGTGGTGCCCCCAGATTGGTGTTACGTGGCCTTGAACCAGATACGGAGTTTGATGTTTGCTTAACCGTTGATGAAGCAGGGAGCAATATGGCCTGCTGCACCAGTACCACCAGACCAGACAGTAAGTGTCTGTTTCTTCAACGTGATTTTCCAGGAAGTTAGATGTCTGCTGCTTTAGTGTTTGATATATGAAGGTAGATGTTGGGTGCTTCAGTGTCTCGCTTCAGTAGATGAAAGTTACGTATCTCAAATGTACATTATCTCACCATTTTAAGTAGTGAAGCACGTGTCTGCTACCTCAACATTCACCTAATGGTAGGAAAGTATTGGTTTCCTCACTGTGTCCGTCTGTACACACTGCCATCCGTCACCCCTTTATCTGTCAGTCAGTTTATACAGAGGTCGTCATATTTCAGTGTTAAGAGGAGACTCCTCCAGTTATCTCTACACATAAAAGGTTTAATATACCGTCCTTATCAGGTTTACCTTCTTAATACAGGATCAACAAATTTACGTATAATTCATTCAGAATATGTCGCAATACAACTTGAACATTACTATATTGGTAATGAAAGAAATCCTTTTTACTAATGTTCTTTCTTCCTTCATCTTCTATCTTCCTGTAACATGAACAGAACCCTCTCAACCTAAAAACTTGAAGATGGAAAACAAGACTCAGACCACAGTCACCTTAAGCTGGTCTTTACCTGACCAACTCAATGGAATACTGGAAGGCTGGCAATTAACCTGGTCACCCAACACGGAGGATGAAGGCATTGTCCTGGCCATTTCTAAAAGGGCATACACAGTTACCAACCTGAAGCCCTCCACAAATTATACCTTTGACTTGATGGTAAGATTAATGTCTCTTTCTGTACATTATTATAAAATCGTCAGAAAGTTTCCCCCGTGGGTTACGGGATTCAGTCCGGTCCACCAAGGTTGGCAGTCAGGCAGCTATCCACTGGACCACAGGTAAAATTGTTTACATTGTTTTACCTGTGTACAATACAGGTTCTGATATAAACCTCAGAATAATTACTACATTCTTCATTAATTCTTCCCACGTGTGACTGTGTGAGTATGTTAAGCGGAGGGAGATGTAAGGTATAAGGTTTTGTATTAACGAGTTGAAGAGATCATACATGTACCTGTGCAACCAAACCATGAATATTTATTGACTAATTATTTACTAAAAGTTCTTTTGGGGTTGATGATAATATCGATGATTTTTCATTTGTTTTATTATTACAGAAGCAGCGTGACCGGAGAGAAGTATAGTTTCTCACGGTATTAAATGGTTCTTCTTACAGTCACTTCCTACTACTGTTGACCCTCCATCCAGTCTGTTATGTAACCTTTTCGATCTTGTTCCTGTTGTTAGTGGCCGAGTGTTCCATCACATCCACCTTTTAACTGTAACCCTTGACCCCTCCAGGCTGGTAATGGCGCTGGTTATGGTGATGCAGCTGAAATTATCGTCACCACCAAACCACCAGACAACAATAACACTGCAATAATAATCGGGGCGTCTGTTGGCGGTGTGTTGCTTGTTGTGATACTCGTGGCTTCCAGCGTCTATGTTTACAGAAACAAGTCAAGAAAAACTTCTTCAAGTTCCAAGACGGATACCTCTGTAGGCCATAATTTCAATGGACAAGAAAGACGATCATTTGAAATGTTTGAAGGACACCCAAGAGATTACAATTACAATGGACGAAAACAAGCACCAGAAATGTATGAAGGACATCCAAGAGTTCAGATTCACAATGGAAGAAAACAAGCACCAGAGATGTATGAAGGTCATCCAAGAGTTCAGATTCACAATGGAAGAAAACAAGCACCAGAGATGTATGGAAGATATATCGAACAAAGACGTGGACAAATGTAAAATGGGAGAGACAAAGAAGTCAAGATATTGTAAGTACTTCAATCATTCCCAAACGATCCACGACATCATTACAGTGTTGAGGTGTGTTGCTGTCTTCAGTTACGCAGTTAAAGGTAAAAAGATTAGAATTTTTGCTGTATTTTTCTTTATAGTAAAAAAATATTCCAATATAAATTATGTCATTGTGATGTTGTTAATAAAATAATAACATTTATCATTGTGTAATAAGATTAGAGTTTTTCACTTGAACATCACCTTCATCAACAATTGTTGTCAAGGCCATGAACCATTTGTTTAACTACGTTCAATGTTAATACTTAAATCCAAAACGACTTCAGGAAGCTTTTTTAACGATATGTTTATAATATTATATTTTTTTTTACTATGAATTATAATTATTACATTTTCGCCCCCCCACCCCAGGCCCCGATGTGGGTCAGTGACCTGTGCTCAGGTGGGCTAATCCTGTAAAAAAAAAATATATCGTTGTTTGCGAACGAATATTTATAGGGTAATTTGAAAAAGGATTCATGCATCGTTTAACTCTTGTAGACATTGTAAATTATTATAAGTTGGTAAGATAGAATTTTATCACAGTGAAAGATAATGTAACGCATAAACAGTCATTGTGTTATGTAGTTTAGATATAAGAGAGAATGTGATTAAAGCTAAGAGTGTGTGAGGTACAGGTGTGTTACCTGTGTGTGAGGTACAGATGTGTTACCTGTGTGTGAGGTACATGTGTGTTACCTGTGTGTGCGGTATAGGTGTGTTACCTGTGTGTGAGGTACAGGTGTGTTACCTGTGTGTGAGGTACAAGTTACCTCCTCATTGCGTCATGCATCGGTCTTAGAGTTCACTGTGTTAGTTGATGAGGTAACTTTGTAAATAACTATATCGCCCCCTGAGAACAAGTGGCTCATGTTTTGTCCAAATGAAAAAAGGAAAACATTTGTTCGTTTTACTCAATAGTTTGTGTCATTGTCCATACGTTTGTCTGATTTTAGGACACGAAGGATAAATATTTTCTTTCGTCCTGATAACTGTTATGAGATGTATGTACATAAAATATAGCCCTGTCATCATCCAATGTGTTTCTTGTTATACACATTATATAATATTTAGAACTTATAATAACTTCAAATAATAAATATAAGTGATGGTAAAGGCTAGTTTATGAAGGACATAAGACAGGGAGTCTCTCACTCCTGAGACTACCTGAACCGCGAGAGAATTATACAGTCTGCACCATGTTAACTTAGTGGATGGAACACTCGGCTCCTGTCCTAAGTGACGCTGGTTCGCACCCGGAACACCCCCAGTCCATCACGCTGTAAATGAGTACCTGACTTTAGTTGGAGAAGTGGAGACGGTAAGTATTGTGAGCTGTACCCGCACGGTCGCCAAGAACCCTCGTGATTATGGGACCAACTCTTATCAGTGAAATGAAGATGAACTTTGTGTGGCTGTCTGTCTGTCGTCAATTTTCGGTTACTGCCTAATACACAGAAACTATTGAGGGTTCATTTGTTCACAAGTGTTTGGGTCACAGAAAATGGTGGACTGAGAGACTCGGGTAAGAGACGTGTAGAGAATTGTTGGTTCTTTTTATACAACATTAATAAGTCTCTATAGGTGAAGCGTGAGTCATCTGTATTGTTTCTTTCATAAACATCAATAAGACGCTGCTTCATACAATAGTCTTATCAAACACTGGAAACTTGTAAAGAAATATTTCTTGTTCTCAATAAATATCTCCCCCGTTGAGGACATTCTGTTACCGATAAAATGGAACACTACCATCTCCACTACATCAACAACACTATCATCAACACTACATCAACAACACTATCATCTACACTACATCAACAACACTATCATCTCCACTACATCAACACTATCGTCTACACTACATCAACAACACTATCGAATACACTACATCAACAACACTATCGTCTACACTACATCAACAACACTATTGAATACACTACATCAACAACACTATCGTCTACACTACATCAACACTATCGTCTACACTACATCAACAACACTATCGTCTACACTACATCAACACTATCGTCTACACTACATCAACACTATCGTCTACACTACATCTACAACACTATCGTCTACACTACATCAACACTATCGTCTACACTACATCAACACTATCGTCTACACTACATCAACAACACTATCGTCTACACTACATCAACACTATCGTCTACACTACATCAACACTATCGTCTACACTACATCAACAACACTATCGTCTACACTTCATCAACACCATCGTCTACACTACATCTACAACACTATCACTTCTTATGGGAAATACAGTAATCAAACAAGAATCCGATGTATTTTGGTGGCTATGCTGAGTTGAATTAGCTTACTGTTTACCATTGTATACCTGTACTTTCAAGGTATACATCAGTAATTGTATACCTGCACGATCTATGTAAGTATACTATATACCTGTATACTGAATACTAAATAAACTAAAGCGCATGAGTTTGGTTGTTGGGTTCAGGATATTCTCAGTGATAATTATTTATAATCCATATAACTGACTTAACACAATGGATGATGATACCAAAGGTGGAGTTCTAAGATTTATAAGAGTTACTCAGTAAAGAATTGGAAGAAAACGAATACTTGTTTATATATAGAGAGAGAGAATGGTATATAGGCGTTGAACGTTAACTATATATCCGTGATTATCTCTACCTATCTACAGTATCTATCTATATGTTGTGTGGAAACCGTTACTTTCTTCAGAACAAAGAATTTGATACACTACACACTATCAGTAATTTATCAGTTTACATGTGCTTGCTTTAGGGCAACATGTATTGATAAACCTAAAAAGACATTTAAAGTCACACATCCATGAGCACTCAAGTCAATTAATCACCTATTCACCTCACTTAACTAGCCATAACCACACCCACCAACATGACCACCACCTATTCACATGCTTGGAGTTTTCAGTTCTCGGTAAAGCCAACAACAAGACTGACTTACCCGTCATGGAAGAAGTTCTCTCTCTTTATTTATACTCGTGTGAGCTGTTGTGTTTCTCGTATTAAGGTTTGTGTTTGTGTGTTTATCTTAGTACTTGAATTTCTTAGCTTTTATGATTTTTTTTATTTGAGTATTGTGAGAAGAGCACCACAAAACATACTGGAAATTGATTCTACTAAACGTCACGGCTGGGATCGGGACAAAAAACTCTTAGTACACTAATATTAATAAGACTGAAGTATTGGCCACTAATGTTGGTATAGGACAACCAGAGATGATTGGGATTAGTGAGTCATAGCGTTGTGGAGATGTTTGTTGGTAAGTGGCTCTTCTTATTTACCGGTACGAGGGAGACAAGAAGCGGGTGCTGCTATATGTCAAGGAACACCAGACAGTAAACAGTAATGATAACTTAATTGGCATAATCCTTATCAATTTGGTGTGATTTAATAACAGAAAATGAAAATAAGCTGACAGTAGGTGTGTGATACAAGGCGGACTATATACTGTATATCACAGAGGGATGTAACGTACCTTCATAGTCACCCAGACAACACCCAGATCACAAGTTCTCATCGGAATCTTTTAAATCTTTAAACAATTGACTAGGTGACTCTTCTTACCCCACAAGACAATCTCAACGCAAGACTCATTCCTCCCTCAAACACGTAACAGAACCCACGATAAGACATAACATTCTGCATTTAGTGGACGAGGTTCACATCAGGTGAACCCCGACCAGCGACCACTACAGTCCATACATTCTCTAAAAGTCGTGAGAAATTCTTTGAGGGTTGAATTTTATGACTCTGCCGTAGGGATTACTATCTCTTCTTCCATTTCTCAGTTTCTACTGCAAACGGGCCAGAGACGCTTTAATAGAAGTTTAAAAGCTCCTGAAAGGGTATTGCTTAATGAAATAAAATGTATGTATCTGATGCTAGTGGGTGTCTGCCCCACTAGAAGCCAGTAGTAGTAGTAGTAGTAGTAGTAGTAGTAGTAGTAGTAGTAGTAGTAGTAGTAGTAGTAGTAGTAGCTACTTTTGTAATAGGATATAAAATTTTAAGGTAATAAAATGGCAGCAAAGGTGTGGCTATTGGGGGAGGCTGGAGGCCAATTATTAAAAAAAGTGGTAGTAGTAGTAGTAATAGTAGTAGTAGTAGTAGGAGAAAAAAAGTAGTAGTAGTAGTAGTAGTAGTACTAGTAGTGGTGGTGGAGGCAACTATCGGACCAGGCTTGCAGCTGCACCGTGATAGGATTGCTCAGTGTTTTGCGTTCTGCTAAGAGGATTGCTGTTCGCTGAAGGGAGGCCGGATTACTGTCTTGCTGCTGCTCTTAGCTCTGCTGTTATTGTTGCTGTTGTTAGTGTTAGTGCTGTTATTACTGCTCTTGTTAGTGATACTGCTACTAGTGCTGCTGCCATTAGTATAAGTTAGTGCTGACGTTGTCCTTGTTGATGCTGAAGCTGTCATTGTTGATGCTGATTATGTCATTATTAGTGCTGACTCTGCTCTTATTAACAGTAAAAATGCTGTTGTTACTCATGCTAGTGTTGTTCCTTGCTCAGTTGTTATAGAAGATGGTTCTTATGCTATCGGTGTTATTACTAGTGACTGTTCATCGTTATTCTACTGTTGTTGTTTTTGCTTATGCTGTTGTTGTTTCTGCTTTCGCGGTGTTCTTGTTGTATTGGTCGGTATTATTGTATCGTTCTGCTCAGTTGTGAAAATTCTGCTGCCCTACACACACACACGTTTACTGTTTAATATTATTCAGGTACAGTCACTCCAAAAAATTATCTGCACTTGGGGTGATCGATGAATTCCAGAATGAACACTGCGACTCCTGTTGTCTCGGTTGGGTTGTCAAAATCCCTCGTCCTTTGTGTCGTATTGCCTCAACACAATTTTGTATAGATAGTTTTTTGAGTGACTGTACATTAATATCGACTGCCCCATGGCTTGTCTGCCCCATAGGGTTTGCACCATCTAGAACCCATCACACAACCAACTCGGGGCGGCAGGTCTGGTTGTCTGCGTGTTTGCCGGAGATGTTGACAACGTAGTATGTAAACAAAAAGAGATGAACCCATGTGCTTACCTTCCGCTTGTCAGACCCAGTTAAGAGAAGCGTTCGCTGGTCGCTAGAGTTTGCTTCTTGTATCGATTCCCGCTTATTGTGTACCTGGCAAGCTGCTCGTCTTTTGCCTGTGTAATGCATGAAGCAATTATCATCTAGGACTGTGGAAATCCAGGATGAAAGTGAGGGGTGGAGGAGGGTCTCATAAAGAAGAACAATCAGTGGCAGAACAAAGACGACTTGAGGGTTGGAAAACAACAACAATAACTGAAAAAAGTTAATCCTCAATATGATCACCTTAAATTACAGGTGTTAATTTGTATCTTTATTTTGTTTTTGTTTTTAATGAGGTCGAGGTTGTGAGTTATCATTATGTATATTTATGTTAATCAGTTTTTTTTATATAGCAGCACACTAGCTTATGGCGCGGTCCACCTCCACGCATATGGTTGGGTTAGTTACTGAGACACACTGTTCCAGGCCGGTGATAGTTGTACCCTGATGGGGTGTGGTCGGGTCGTGACATGTTCTCTCTGTCTCCCTTTGTCTCTATCACTCTTACTTTCTTTATTTTTATACCTTCACGTAAGCTTTTTCTCACTTGTCCAATAGGTTTATCTAATTTCTTCACAACATACTAAACTACCTGTACTTCTCTCTGCCTCTTGTAGGATATATTTACAATCACGGCCAACACCTGTACTAATTAAATTCTTTTATGTAGGACAAGGAAGGAGGGAGAGGAGGGATAAGAGAGGATATAAGGAAGGTGGGAGAGGGGGAGTAAAGGACTATACGAGGAGAGAAGGGAGGAGTAAGGGTGGAGACAAAGAAGGGTATAGAAGAAGACAAGGAGGGAGGAGAAGGGAAGGAAGGGAGGAGGGAGGAAGAACAAATGTCTCCCCCTGGAGGCAGGGTGAGGGCCAGGAGGTGCCAGATGAGGCACTGTGTCACTGGCAGTAGCGAGAGTCTGACCAAT